ATAAAATAGATACCACTTTTCAATAATTTTTGGGGCATGATAGAGACTTTATTGATGAGAAAGTACCAAATTATCTCTCTAAAGCTTATTCATTTACTTTTATTAATCAAAACCCCTAACAAGGGTGTAAGCTATCAGTTCGAATATTTAAAATTGAGATTCATAAAAAACGAATGCATCTTAACATTACCCGTAATAAAACTGGTTTTAAAATTATATGAAATGCAAAAGTGCAAAAGTAGGCGGTTCTTAAAAATTTATATCCATTGTAAATAAGAAAAAATTCTTTTTCTCACATGATTTACGCCAATCAGCGACGCTTTATAATGATAGATATCAGTGATTAAATGTGCTGCATTGATGCGTACTTAATACTTTACAAATATTTTTTTCATAAACCATTAAAGAAGCCGCTAGCAAGTACAAATACAATTCATTGCTCTACATACATCAACAATAACTTACGTATGAATTCACAAGAATAAAAAAAAATTCAAGAAAGTTAAAATAATGATTTTTGACTTCCCGTACGGATATCACATGAATACTGAAATTTGGTATAAATTGAACTGACTTAAAAGCAAAACGTAATGTTTATCCTTTTCTCATTTTGATAAATCCAAAAATGTTGTTTTTCAATATAAATGAATATAATAGAAAATAAATGCAAACTTATAGTAAAAGAAAGGATGATAAGAGAAAAAGAGAAGAAAAAAATACATAAAATCTGAAATGTGATTGAGTAATATTTGCGTTGCATATATTGAAGAATCTCTGGACGATGCTGCTTCTATTTCTTTTCAGGGTAATGTGGAAATGTAAAAAAATCCTTCAGAGTAGAAAATCGAAACATTTCTTATCTATTCACTACATTGCACAAAATGCAAAACGAGAAATGAGAAAAATTCTTTCTCTACTTGAAACTCTTTCTCAATTTTAATACGGCATCTCTTATTGTTATCTGTGCAAAATTCTGTGCTTGCTATTCACATTAAATTTATTCCTTTTTCACTCTATAAAATTGTTCTTCGTACTAGTATTTCTGACAGTGCTTATCTCATTTATTCACTATTTCTATTGCCATCATCAACATATACATTTGTGCAATGAAGCTAACACATTGAATTTATCTTTGCAAAATATGTATATGTAAATATATATTTATGTATAAAAGTAAAAAGGCAAAAAACAATTGACGATATATATTTGAATATACATACGAAATTGGATATATATTGAAGCGATTTGGTATATGGCATGTCCAATCTCTTTTATTGTTTTAAGTGCATCACTTAATAAGCTCATTGTTCAACGAAATCATTTGTATATAAATTTCTATCTTGATTTCAATCATCTCTTTTTCCTATACTTCAAAATCATGTTTGAATGACAAAGGATTGCACATCTATTCACTTTTCTCGTTCTATCGTTTTACCACTTGACTATTTTTTTTGCCAATGGAAAGTTTTAATCTATCATCAATGGTGAATTGCTCACTCTATTATATGCCTATGTATATATATAGAAGTTGATGATATTATGCGGTTTATTGAAAAGACTCTCGTTTACCATCAAAAGGCAGAAAAATAGCAAAAGTTGGGAGTTTTTGAATTCATAATTCAAAAAATTTTAATTTTTTTTCCTGATCACATGATTTAAATAATAGCATTCCAATGCATTATTCAATTCAGAAAAAAAGTTGACAAATTTTTGATAAAAAAATCTAAAATTATAACACGTTTTTCAATAATTTCATCTTAAGGTAGGATTTTTAACATATTTTATATACACATAAAGACTTCTGTGTTTTTTTTTTGCTTTCAATAGCTGCCATATTGTACGTAAACTGAATCTTTTTTTGAAGCTTTTCTAATTATTTATTATAGCTTGATTAACTTTTTCATAACAAACGAGTGCATATAGAAATAATTTATTAAATACTGAACTTAAAATAAATTAACTTAAATTTTGAAATTTTAACGGAGTTGAATTTTATTTCTGAGAATTTTCATTAACCAAATTTTTTTTACAAAATGCACACAAATATATATATGACAACGTTTGTTATTTTATCAGTAACCATCAGCAATGATTAGTAGTGTTAAATTAAGATAATAAAATTCAAAATAAGTTGGTAAGAACCAAAAATAAACCCTCCCTAACAGGCAAGTGAGTATACTCATGGTACAGTAACATACTCAAGAGTATGTTCAGAATATACTTTTGAGTATGTTACGGTACCATGAGTATACTCGTTTGTCTGTTAGAGCCTTGGATAATTTCCACATCAATTACGTAAATCATCGAATTTTTCCATAATTGAATGTTTTAAGAGTTTGAAGATGAGCATAAACTCATCTTACTCACCACACTTTACTTTTGCAGAAGTTTTATTTGCTATATTTTCTTATCTGTCTCGCTACCAAGCACAATAATTTATCGCTCGTCGTCGTCAAAATCATCTCCTCATTCGTCTGGATTTTAGCAACTTTTACTGTTATCCTTACATACATGTATTATATCTTTCTTTTATAGAACATATTAATAATTTTCAACACTGACAAAAGAGTTTTGAATACTTCTACGAGTGAGAAATGAAGATAAGGATATTCTTGTTATTTTTCATTGTGTTATATCAGAAGAAAATATTTTGCTATGGCTATTTAGAAATATGAAACATTTAATTGTCTGTATAAAATTTATGTTCATAATATTATGAAAAATATATTTTTTATCAGATGTTTCGTTATCTAAAGAAAACATTCATGTCATAAGATCCAAATAAACAGCAAATTTTTTATTACTCCATATCATCCTGTTCTTTTGTTTCTATGTTATATTAATATTTTGAGTCTGTGTTTTATTAATGAACTTTGGTAGAAAAAATTAATGAGAAAGAATCCACCAGACTGTTTTTTTCAACGTCAAATACTTTCCTCCCATCCATATGCTGCACCTGTAAAATATTCATTTAATTTGTCACCCAATTTGCAACTGTACTGAGAACCAACATAAAAAAAAATAAGAAAGTCTTGTAATGTGTTTTATTGATGCAGTCTTATCCTTTAAATTTAAAGGAGAGTTTCTCATCATTTTTTTGGAACGCTTAAAGCTAGATTCATGTTTGAACTCAATAAACTCTAAATTTGGCTCAACATTACGTGAAATATTGAATTTTTTAATTTTTTTTTTTTTTCAAACTATAATTGACAATGCTTGAGTTTTGAGCAATTCCACAGATTGATATTTTTTTAAAAAAAATTGTGTTTGCGACAGTTTTTCTTATAAGTAAGCAATCAAGACGTTTCAACAACTTTACATACATACATATGTAAAACTTCGAATTCTATCTTCTGTATTTTCTTTTTTTATTTCTATATCTTTAATTAAGAAAATATTCAAATTTTCGCGAGTTAGTGCAATACTTTTTTTTTAACATTCTAGACATCAAGACAACCCTTGATTGCTGTTATTCTGTTCATCCTTACTTCTTTTATGATTTTGTATTATTATTATCTCAAAACTCACTTATTAAGTGGAAATGTGTAAATTTATAAAACACCAAATGAAATAGTGCAACGCTTCTAAGCTTTTATTTTCCTAATCTATGCTATAGCTATGTGAAAATAATTTTTTAAAAAGCCAAATTTAATTTTCTTAAAAACTTTTTCTTACTAAATACCAATCACTTTAATTTAAAAATAAGAATATCCTCCAAAACAAATGTAAACTTTTTTCAAAATGTTTGTGCTTTTAAATTTAAAGAAAAAGAACAGTATGTTATTCATTTATGTTTGCTGTTATTGTAAATGTGTTTAATTTTGAACGCGATGTAATAATCACAATAGAGATGATGATGATGATGACATGTTCAAGAATACACTATATAATTCAAAAATTGTAGATTAAAATCTACTTAGATTGAAGCTCTTAAGTGCCGTAATTTTGCGTGGTATGCCAGAAATTTCCATTATGTCCGTCGCTCATAATTCAATTCTTGAATCACCTGAAAGACCATTTCAGTATGATTTTTACGTCTTTTTTCTTATCAAACGTCATCATCAATTTTTCTCGCCTCTTCGCTCACCACGTTCATTAAGCATTCGTTTTTGTTTTAAGTATTTTTATTACATTTCTTTAATCTTGATTATAATTCTTTTCTCTCCTATATTGTTCTTTTCTGTTTTTAAATTGTTTTAACAATATTCGAATTCAATATTATTACTTACCTTTACTTCCACACTTCCATTTTCATTTTTTCCATTCCTAAGAATATTATCATTAAAAATACTTTTAAAAATCTTTGCATTTTCGTTTTTTTTTGTCTTAAGGTCATCACAAACGTACATTGTGGAATTGATAATATTGTGCCATTTCCCTTCTCTCCAATATTCAAACGTTTTCTGACGAATTTCTTCTGTTTCGTGTCTTATTCATTTATTTAAGTCTCTTATCAGGACACGAGCGGGAGAATCATTTTACGTCGATAGTAATTTTTTTAAGTTTGAACTATGATCGTGCATTTCAAACTCATTATAAGTGTGGATTTTTCGATAGTGTTCATATGCCAAGCTACTTTCTTCTTGGAATACATTTTTTAAATTATTTATAAATACCTTAAAAAATTGTGTCCGCTATCAAAATAATGATGCTTTAAATAAAAATTACGGCTAATTTTTTGTCAAGAAAAAAAATATTTTTTTGAATAATGTATATGCAGGAAATGATATGATGTCGCTAAAAGCAAGTATTTATTGCATACTTTTGAAATAAATAACATGTAAAATATTTAAACTTTTGTGTAATAAAGCAGTCGTTTCTTTCCGCTACCCGATGCTTTAAAAAACATTTCCCTTCATAAATGTCTTCATTTAAATTCCAAATGAATCCATTCTTAAATGCCAACACTAGCTTATTGGAATGAAAAACCATGTCGTTTTTTTCTGTATTTTTAAACTGTAATTAAAAGTAGTTATTTTTTTTCTATGTACTTCCTTTAGGAGACGATGATGAAGAATTTCCCAATGAAGGAAGCACAGCACACCAGACAAAAAATAATGAAATGGACGAAATGGAAGAACAGATTTCAGAAAAAGAGGTTTTAAGGACTAGTTTATCAGAAAATAATGAGGATCCAGAATGTTTAGAGGAAAATAAAACAAGTAAATCGCCTCTACAAATTGTTCCTGCCCTTAGATTAAATGTAGCACTTGCCTCAGACCCTGCAACTAATCCTGATGCAAAAGAATTTTTAAAAATACATATAAAATCTGAGATAAATCAGTCAGGCGATGATGAAGATGCCGAAGATGAATATATGAATCCCAATAAGGATCTTGATACAATTAGTGAGACTGTTGGTTTACAAATTCATTCACAGCGAAGTGATGGATCACAAAAATCAAAAGAAAATATCAATAATATAAACCAAATGTTAGTGAAGAATCTAGAAATATTACCGCGTCAAAATGTTTATATGTGTGCACCATGTAGCATTCGCTTTTCATCACTGTCAACATTAGAAGCTCATTCTAAGTTCTATTGTGCTCACCGGAAGGATGCCGATGAGAATCCAAACAAATCATCAAACATATCCTGTGAGACCAATGGATCTGAGCCCCCAACAAAAGCTATCAAAACAGGAAAACAGTATGCTTGTACTCAATGTTCGTATAGTGCTGATAAAAAGGTATCATTAAATCGTCATATGAGAATGCATCAAACATCACCTACTCCAAGCTCAACAGCTACTTCAAATGGTGATGATACTACATCTAGTCAAATAATTGTTCCTGCTTCAATAATTGGACCTTCTCTACCAATCAATGATCGTTATTGTACTGACTGTGACATTAGGTTTTCAAGTACGAAAACATTTAAGGCGCACAAACAATTCTACTGCAGTAGTCGGAACTTAGAAAAAGTAAAGGTAGGAAAGTTTGATAATTATAACAACTCATCAAAAATTGTTCAAGGTGTACTGAAAAGGCATAAAAAAATTTAAAAGTCTGAAAAAAAAGTTTCACACACAACTGCTAGAAACTATGACATAATAGTTCAAGTATGAACGTTTTATTTTATGTATTTCCACAACTGCTAGAAACTATACAATAAAAAATAAAAGCATTAAAGCTTTATTAAAATTCAATAGAACGTATTAAAAGGAATGATAAAATAAACCCAAAAATTGAAGCTGCTGTAGCTTGTCAAGGAAGGCTTGACAAAATTCGACGATACTATTACGAAATTATAGTAAAAGAAATTTAAAGAATTTGGCTTTAAATTTTCAGAGTATATTTGATAAATTTTTATATCCTAGTCAATATCGTTCACAAAATTTCGCATAAGTACACCTTGATCTTATCGTACAACTTAACAACTAAAAACGTGGGCGGATTATAAGAGAAGAAATATGTTTATGTGAAATCCTAGTTGATGATCCCTCAATCAGAATAGTGCAAACATAATACTCTATGATAAACTTAACTTAAGTCACACTGTACCAAAGGGTCTTTGAAAACAGTCTCTTAAAAATCCTTTGTGTCATTCGAGTTAATTTATGATAAAGAAATCCTTAGTAGTATTAATTATTACCTTTATTTTTGTTTTTAAGGACAATCAATTTTATTGTAATTCGCGTCATCAAGGGTAAGATATACTGTTAATAATTTTGTTAAAAAATTATTTTAAGATGCATTCTTTTATTTCTAATTAGCCAAGCTTCATCTATTCTCTCACCAGTAATCGTTCCAAACGCACCAGCTACTTCTATTTCAAAGTCTGAATCTCAAACTCCACCAGAAGCATCAAAAACTCCTCCAACTTCAACATCACCATTTTTGGCATTGCCAACAAATCCTATAATTATAATTCCGTATTCACTAATAAGAAACTCAAGCATCATTCCAGGACCTTTGTAAGTAAATTAAGAATTCATTTTTTTTTTTAATTTAAGATTTTCAAAATACTTTTTGTAACAGATCTTCTGTAGCACAAGTAACAAATCCCGACTCAACTTGCTTTATATTTCAAAACGGCACATTACAACCAATTGCATATTCAATTGCACCTACTGTTGTTGCAAGCTCCTCAAACACTCAGCAAACATCCCCAAGATCGGTATCACAAGTAGCTATCAATGAAGTAAAGATTTCCAAACCAAGTAGCGCTGGAAATATTGCAAACGAAGCTTTAAAATTATTAAACAAACGTGATGGAATTGTAAAGTAGGATAGAAATTTCTTTATCATTTAATATTTAAATTTTTTCACGTTAATTTTTTTTTTATTTTATAAATTAGTCGTGAATCAACAACACCTTTAGATTTGTCAGTACGACGTTCGTCTCCAAATTCACGTGAGCGAAGCTTGTCTATATCTTCAGCTATATCATCGGAGCAATTTCGGATGGAATTTGATTCGATGATGGAAGGAAAGGAGAATTTGTCTGTTAGTGGTGATTCAATTACTCCTGAACAGATTGTTTGTGCACCATCACTTCCTGGAAGCCCATCATTAACACCGTCTAGAAGATCAAACAGTCCACGTGGCAGCAGTGTGTCAATGTCACCAAATTCTTCTACGCCACATTCTGTCTTAATGCGACCATTATTTCCAACAGACATAGCTATACGCTTATCTGATCCAGCACTAAATGTCATTCCACCATTGGTTAAACAAAGTATGGAATTAGCGTTAAGATTATCTAGTACGAGTGAGGCTACTAATGCGCAGCAAATATCTCCATCACACCCAATATCATCTACACGAACAACACCTACACAAATTCCTGCTCAAATTTTTGTCAAAACCGGAATTTCTAAATGTAAAGAGTGCAATATAGTATTTTGTAAGTACGAGAACTATGTCGCGCACAAACAATTTTATTGCGCTAGCAACATGGATAAAGGAAAGGTAGGAATAACTCAACAATAATAACAGCTCATCAATAATTAAATAAGTTGCACTAAAATGGCACAACATACTATAAAAGTCTGAAAAAAAGATTTTAAATACAACAAATATTGTGTATTAAAGCTTTATTATATTTCTACGGCTTCTAGAAACTATATTTTTTTCTTTTTTTCATACAAATTTTATAACAAAGTAGAAAAGGGGGGGGGGGGGGGGTAAAAATTTAGTAAATGTTGTTGTGTTAATTAATGAAAATTTAGTTTAATTTTCTCCTTTTTTTTGTTTTTAAGGATTCATTGCCTGAAAGTGACAAAAAAAATTATTGCTCGTTCAAAAACTTGGAAAAAAACGAAGGAAGTAATGCAGAGCAATCAAGTTTATCCATATCACCTCCAACAACTATATCAAATAATCCTCAAACGTATCAGCAATTGATCTGTTTGGCATGCGGTATTAAATTTGCATCACTTGATAATCTCACTACTCACCAGGTATAAATAACTCAATAATTATAACAAATCATCAATAATTCTATAAGATGAACATAATTGGCACAAAATATTATAAAAGTCTGAAAAAAAAATTAGGAGTATTTTTTTATCATATTCCCTTAAATATTAGAAATTATTTTTAAAAAAAATTAAAGCATTAAAGCTTTATTAAAATTCATTGGTACGTAATAACAATATTTAAAGGTTAACATTTATAAAGAAGACTGATTACCAGGTTGAAAATATTTCATTTGGTGAGCTCATAAGCTAAAGTGTGAAATAAAAATTCTATCACACGCAACACATGACAATTTTCTGGGAAAATCTTCAGTTTTATGAATCTGTAGATGATCAATGCACTGTGGACACATTTTCAGATCAATATTTTTGTCCTTTTCTTCTAGCAATGCAAATAAGATCCGTATGATTTTTCCATTTGTTTCTTCACTGACCGCTTGGAGACTAGCTTCTTGCAGGTTGCACACTCATTCTTGGTCAGCATCTAATCTGTTGTGCTGTTCCTTACTTTTAACGCCAAAAGCTTCATAACTGAGTGTCAACTTAATTTCGAATCAATTTTCGGAAATGTGAAATCATTATATTCTTCCTTTGCATAAATGATAGCAAATGACTCATCAAGAAAAACAGTCGAGCTAAAATTGACATACTTTTTCTTCTTCTGGGTAGGCGTTAAATAATTTGTTGAACAACAGCATGTAGACATGACATCGTTTCTTTAGTGGAGCGGGTAAACAATGACCTCCTGGCACATCACTATCAATTTGATGACTGTCAATCTGTTGCACTTGAGATGAAGATGCTCCATTTGTGCAGCCTCTCGATTGCTGTAAAATGTCATCAAGTCTCAGCAGCAATTTGTCATGATCTTTGAATTTCAAAATTTGTTTAAAAAAACACATCTGAAATCAACTAAATGATGTACATAAAGTGAAGGAGAGGAAGAATATTTTTGCGCATTGTACAATTTTCTCTTAATTTAAGCATTCAAATGAATTTGAAGAAAATAGGGATCCGCATATTATCACATAAAACTTTACAATGTTAAAAACCGTACAAATTTCAACATTCTACACTTCTCTAAGTCTTCAAATGTTACTGTTGCTTCAGACCATAATATTTTATATTTAATTGACTATGACATCTGTATATGGGTAAATCCACAAATAATACCTTTGACATGAAAAGTTTATAATAAATTTTTTGCTTTAAATATTCAATTATAGTACTGAATGGATACAATTTCATTAATTCTTCACTCCTGAAGTGTTTTAAATAAAGTTGACTCAGAAACGCTATTTTTGGCAATTATCTCTTTTATATACCATTTATATAGAACAAAGTGGATGTTAACTTAAAGCTGTGGAAAGAGGAAATCAATTCTATACCTTTTGAAATTAAAATTGACTCCGAAACACTTTCAAACTTGAATTATTCTTTAATCAAAAAAGGTACAAAGCTGATTGTTTCGATCAGCTTATTCGATTCTTTATCATATATAATACCTAGATATGTTTTAAAACCCAAATTTAAGCATTTTTTGTTTCGGTTCGGATTTCAAGAAGAGAAAAAAAAACGTTTGTGGATTTGCCCATATCAACAAGTGACTACCAGTGAATACATAGGAAATTTCGATTATTATTATAAATTTTATTGTCTTGATATTTTTTATGTAACATTTTAATAATGCCAATTTTTCTCACCATTTATCTTTTTATAACATAAAGTTGATAGAAAATCGTCTTAAATTCCTAAGTGTTGGTTGCGTGAATCAGTCTTATTTAATGATTTTCCTCAAATACTCATACTTAATTAATTTTTCCTTTACTATACGATAACTCATTTAATGACTGAAATAATTATAAACTGTGCCAAATTGACATTGCTTATCATGTTTCAGAAATACTATTGCTCAAAAGCAAATGATCTCCAAGCTCAGCCTAGTTCAATAGCCACTATTCCATCATTACAAAAAGAGAAATGTGCTAAATGTAAAGTCATTCATGATCCATCTCAAAGTTGTGCACAGGGTTCTCATTATAAATGTCCAATCTGTGAAGTTGTTAGTCCTAATTCATCTGAGGCGAGGCGACACATGGAAAGTCATGGCGGTGTTAAAGCATTTCGCTGCACTATTTGTAGATATAAAGGAAATACTTTAAGGTGAGATAGAAAATAAAATTATTAAAAGAAATCAAAGATCCTATTTTTTAAAAAAAAATTTTATTTCATTTTTGAATTGTTTAGAGGAATGCGAACACATATAAGAATGCACATTGACAAAAAATCAGGAGATGTTAATGAAGAGAACTATATATCTTGCATATTGGATGATGATAGTACCGAAATTCCTCCATCCATAGTTAACAAAGTTCCATCAACGCAAGAAAATAGTAAAAAGAATTGTCTGAAATCCCAGACAAAATCAATTCCAATTAACTGTGAAAAACAGGAAACAAAAATGAATACTGCAATATGTTCAAAGTAAACTTATGCTCTTACATATCATGAAAGTATGATTAATAAGTTTGTATCATTTACAGTATGATTAAAAAGGAATTTAATGAAGATGATGTAAGAAGTGTTGACAATTCTAGAGATATTGAGGATGAAATATCAAATGATACAATCAAAATTGAGAGTGAAAATGAGACAATACCAAAATTGTTAACTGACTCAAAATCATCAGAAAAACCAGCGTCTGAAGAATTACGTCAATTACCAAATATCGGAAATGAATTAGCCCATTTGGAAGATACATCATCTCCACTCATCATAGAGTCACCAAATGATTCAAAGTATTGTAGTAATTGTGATATATCTTTCACGTATTCTAATACATTCATCGTACACAAACAATTCTATTGCAAAGGAAAGAATGGTTCTACCAGTAAAGGAACATCATCAAATGGATCGAACGCTAACGTATCTATAGCAGCAGAAACATCAGTTTGAAAATAAAAAGAATTGACTTTTGAAAAAATACTTAATATTTACACAAAATATATGCAGTAATGCATTCTAAGACTAAATGCAGTATACGATATTTACATTAAAATCATGTAATTTCAAATTAGATATTCTCATGTTAATCGATATAATTTAAAGAGAGAGAAAAAAATCATTTTAAGTGTTCTATTAATAAATAAAAATAGATAACAGTACTCGCTTATCTTTCGATGCAAGTAATGAAGGAAATAGTATTCAATATGCTAACCGTACTTAATGTTATTGAGTTTAACAAAATCAAGCTGAAATTATGTGTAAATGCTTTTGAAAATTTCTAAACGAGAAAAAAAAATAAGAGGAATATACTTTAAGCTTATCTGAATCACCTTATTCTCCAATAATATCCTTTGTTTTTATATTTAAGAAAAAAAAGCTTAAAGTTTTATTGGAATTTTCAACAAAAAAAAGGGCATCTTGTTCTGAATGGATTAATTATTTATTTATTAACTGCAAAAATCCATAACTAGCAAGGTAAATACGTTTAAAAAAACTCTTTGGATCAAAATTGCGGGCATCACAAAATTTCAAAAGAGTGTCATGAAATGATGAGTTTTTGAGTTTTAAATGAAGCTTTGTGGTTTTAACAACTTTGGGATCTTGGGTTTGTTTTTGACGAATAAAATGTTTTTTTTTTTTAAATGGCTTGATTTTATTGCTAAAAACATAAAGTGTGAATGCTACTAAAGTTATTGTGATTGTTGATTAGATATTTTATTTTGGAGCCTTTAATTATCATCAGTAAGCCAAAGTCCCCTTATTTTAAATAATTAATAAAAAATGGAATTTTTGGGCAAAAACAAGATCCAGAAGCAACAAGAATTCTGTGTTCAAAAAATAATTAAAAGTAAAAATTATTTGTAGACTATGAGAAATAGAATTATACCAAAAATGCTCGAATCATAAAACGGATAATTTAAATAAATACAAGCAAATAATTTTATAATTCGATTTTCATTCTAATTCAATCGAATATTATTTGAGTTAATTACACACGGTAATAATTTTATTTAAATTTGGGCTGTTTCTTTAGAAAATGTATCGTCATATCTAGAATGAACTTTTTTGTTACATTTTTTAAAATTATCTAAATAATTCACAAATTTAAAAAAAAAAACTTGATAAAATGTATTGAATATGTTTCTTATATTACCGATAATAAAGACAATAAGAAAAAAATATTAAAAATTTAAATTTGAAGCTTTTTCTTCTCTTAATCTTCTTCGCTTGACTCTTCAGAGTCACTCTTTAAGTCCTTAATCATTCTTTTTCGATATTTTGCATAACTTGTACCACTAACATGATCAGCATTTACATAATCATAATCGTCGTAATCATTATCTTCAGCATTTATTGAGAACACGAAACCGTCATTACTAGTTTCATTAAATTCATCAGCATCGCTACTAGACAAATCATTATCAATTTCAAAATTTTGCATCGCTTTCCTCATTGCTCTTTCATCCACACTAGAATCAGAGATATCTTCTTCATCGGGATAATCATTTCGCCAATTATTCTCATCATTTGAATCCTCATCATAATCGTCGTGTAAATCGTCATCAAGGTCATTAGTTAATCGCGGACATGAATATAAATAATCATTGTATTCTAAAATGCTATTAAACTGTTGGATTTTTTTTTTTTGTATTAATTTAATTATGGAAAGTTTACCTTAAATCGTTAATATCTATGACATCTGCCTGTAATATTGAAGAAAAGTCATCCTGTGCAACATAAATGTCATAAACATATGATTTTGAAGATTTTTCATTCAAACCAGCTGCCGTTATGTTTTCATTATTAAAATCATATTCTCTTTCAACGTCGAGTATTATTTGCTCTCCATTTGATGCTTGGTAAGCAGACTTTTCAGAACTTCTCATAAAATTGACAACCTTAAATCGCTTTTCCTTTATTTTTTCCAAATTTTCAGATACTCGATTACTTAGTCCTGAATTTTGCAGATTACTCTTGCTTTGTACAATGTTTTCGGCTTCTTTTTTTGATATTTTAAGCATATGATCCGGAATAACATTTTCCTTGAATTTTAAAGTGATTTAATATGGCTTTAAAACCGTTAATAATCGAACTTACTTCTTGCACAGTTCCGACAAATGAAAATTGTGAATAGACATCCTTAAAACAAATGATGATAAAATGCTTAATTTCACTTAATTTAAAAAAATAAAAATAATGTTTTTATATTATGAAATTTACCTTCTCACTTAATTTCTGTTTTTTACAGTTTAATACGATTTTCGGATCAACTTCTTGACTTTCGTCAAACTTTCGCTTAACTCTAATTATTGTTGGTGCCATCAGTTCCTGATTAAAGTCTCTTAAATAGCCTTATTGAAATAATTGTGGTCAATATTGTTACTGTTGCTGATTGTTGCTCACTTTTAACATTTTTTTTTTGGAAACTTTTTATTATGACTTTGTCTGCCTTTCATAACTTCAATATTTGCCACCATGATTCAAATCGAAAAAATGTTCAAAATTGTCATATTAATTATACTTCATCTGTTGAATGCCAAATTAAAGATCTTAACTTTAGTCATACCCTATGAAAATATCTCGTCCCAATTTGATGTCTAACTCCAGAAATCTTTAATTTATTATCACCACAAACTTGTTAAAAATTCATATATGAAAAAAACTTTGATTTTCTCTGCTTTAAGTTGTTATTTCGATATCGTGCCAAATTAACAGAAAACTGCTTATTAAGTCTTAAAAATGCAATTGAAATCTGAGTAATTTTACAAAACTTAAAGTATTCATAAGTTAAAAAGACTTCCAAAGACCTCATTGAAACCTTTATAAATCATTCGAACAAGCTTAAATATATCTATTATTTATTTGCGTTCAAAGTTTAAATAAATTTTGATACAAAATTTGGGCATGAACAATATTTTTTGATAAACTTTTGCTAAAAAATCATGTTTATCCTTTATATTACGGATTGAGATTTGGAGCAATTAATGAAAACATTATGTAGAAGATGTTAAAAGCATCAAATCAAAAGAAATTATCAACTAGTTTATCGGGTAGAAACCCAATGCGGATATATTCACACCGTACCATCAAAAGTCTTATTGATAAACCAAGATTTGCTTAGCATAAGTTTAAAGGTATGAAGCTAGCGTGTCAGCTGAGCTTTGCTCAGCATAAGTTTGAAGGTGTAAAGCTAGCGAGTCACTTTAAAAGTTTTTAAAAAAAATTTTCATCCAAAGTTGAATTTTATAAAAATCACAGTCAACTTTTGTTTTGAAAAATTCATAAGAAAGGAAAGTTATTTGCTTTTTCTGAAGCAACGGCTGTTCCTACCTTGCCCAAAAACAATACAGCTCTTCTATAGAGCAGCACGGATCAAATGTAAAAAACTAGAAGTTTCTACGATGTCTCGTTATTGAGATTTCTTGCTAATTAACTTGCTTGCTTGCTTGTTTGCATACAGAATTAATCTTACCAATTTGAAATCTGTTTTTTGCAAAAGATGTGAAATTCCAGGCACAAACTTTTCATCTCTGAACATTTTAAGCTATCTTGCTCCATATTCTCACACCATTCAAAAAACTGATTTTTCAATCTGAACAAAACCAATAGATTCACACGTGAATACGGTGTGAATATAAAAACTTTCAATTTTTCTAATATGTCACAAAAATTTTATGCACAAAGAATTTTTAAACACTTTTTCTATTCAGATTTAATCATTGTGCACGATTTTTCTCAGTTTTATTTACTCATGGAATTATCCAATATACAACATACTCCCTGTGACGTCATTTATGAACTACCCCTTACCAAAATTAAAATGCGTTTTAAAAGCATAACTTTTTTCTGATGTTGACATTTATACTTTTGCTCAGTTTTTTTGTTGTTGACTTTCATAAATTAATAAATATTAAAATAAAATAAAATAGCTAATAAAATGATAAAATCCAGTGTTATAATAGTGGAAAATAGTAAAGGAGATGTTTTTATCGTCGAAGATAAAGAAGAAAAGTCACAAATTGATAAAATACTAAATTCTGATGTCGATAAAAAATCATTTCAAGCTGAGTAAGTTACATCCACAAAAATATTATGATTTTATTAATTGTCTAGTTTTATACTCCAATTAACAGCAATGAATCTGAATTACAAGATATTGAGGAAGAGGATATTATCGAAGAGTATTTGGATGAATATTTAGATGAAATAAAAAGCGAAAGTAGTGTGTATAATGTTTATGCTGATCATCAATACACAAGTATTACTGTTGAAGAAAATATGGAAGGTGAAGAAAGTAATGATGACTCAATAAACTATGAGGATACATTTGAATCTGAAATTAAAACTAATAATAATAGTAAAAAGCAACATCATAAGTTTCATCAATTAACAGGTATGTGACTCTGCCTTGGAGCATAGCATCGTTAATCATACTATTAATCATTTCGTAGGAAAAGCAGCATGCAAATATTGCGAAACAGTTTTTAAATCAAAAGAGTCGTTAAAGCAACATAATTGCAAATATTTAGAATGTGATCCGAAAAATTTTATTTGTCGGATTTGTAATAAGGAACTTAGCAAAAAGACATTCAGTAATCATTTGCATGAAGGCATCCTCGATTGTCAATATTGTTCAAAGTCCTTTGTCAATCCTAGAAATTTAAAAACTCATATTAAAAAGATTCATAAGAATGAGAAATTTATACCTCCGAAATCGCCAAATAGAACCTTCATTAAAGAGCTTAAAGTAGAGGATAATGCAGATGTCGCGCTCTTAGATGATCAAACAGGATTTATTACATCAAAAACAGAAGAAGAAAACGAGTGTATAAAAAAAAAGAAATATGTCAAGAAAGTAGGACGATTTGAATGTGAATTTTGTGCAAGAATTTTTTCGTTTGCTCGCAGTTTGACAACGCATCTTTTGCTTCATACCAAAGATTATCGTTTTGTCTGTGAGATATGCGGTGAAAAATTTACTACAAAAACTGGAATCGCCAAACATTCTTGCTTAAATCGAAAAAGAAAGCGTCCGGAAAAGGATTTCAGAACTGTAGACGTGAGACATTGTAAATACTGTGACTTATGGTTTTCATCCTTCGAGGAAAATAGAAATCATATATGCAAGTTTCAACCATCAACGAGTGATCAGAAAAACTTTGTTTGTCGCTTTTGTATGATCGAAATGTCAAAGAATAGCTTTAACAAGCACATGTCACGTCATTTGAATCCAAAAGAATATGTTTGCAAACTTTGTGATAAGAAGTTGGCATGTGAAAAAGCTCTAATAACGCATCTTACAACTCACAGTGGCAATCGGCCATTCAGTTGCAATTATTGTGACAAAAGTTTTATAAATAAAACCCTTTTGATAAGGCATTCAAGATTTCATGGAGTGCAAGTTCAGCAATTCAAATGTACTGTATGCGACAAAGAAATGGCTTCCAAATATCATCTTAAAACTCACATGCAACTGCACAGTGAATTTCAAATTTGTAAGATTTGTAAGGAAAGATTTCCAACACGCGAGAAACTTAAGGAGCACTACCACTCAAGTCATGAGCCGTTTCGATGTTCTATATGTTCAAAAACATTTGTTCTCGCTAGATATTTAAAAATGCACGAAAAACTTCACACTGGAGACACAACAAAGCATTACAATTGTATTTATTGTCATAAACAATTCAGTAAAAGAGCTTTAGCAAATCATGTTTTTTCACTGCATCATGAATATTTTAATGAATGGAAGGACAAAAATATGGAATTCATTATATCGTAGTTCATCATAAAATTAATAAGTAACTTTGTCTCAGCAAATAAGATAAAGTTCAGAGAATTAACAAATAAAAAATATTGTTTTACTATAACGATTTAGAATTTTTTAAAACATTACGTATGTATATGTCTGAATCATAAATTATGAGCATTTTGAGAAAAGCACGAGACTGCGTAAGAGAGCAAACATAAATTTAGAGAATGAGAAGAATATATATGTATATATACACAGAGAAAGTCAAAATTTTCTTCAGAACATAACAATTCTTTGTATGGACAACATGAACTTACAACGAAAAATCTTATAGTTGCTTATACATATTTACTTAATATTAAGTTGAAGCATTTTATTTAATGAAAGTAATAAAAAAATAAAGTGAGAGCTTATCGTTTAAACTAAAAAGTTATCTGAAAAATCAGTGATGAGTGTGGTAAATTTGAAAACTTTATGTCTGCTGCTCACATTATGTCTGTTTAGTAAGTAATCAAAATATAAGTTGCGCATTGTCTTCATGTCTAACTTAATATTTTATTTTTCTTTAAAGACGCGGCTGTTGACTCTCAATTCATTAATGTGCAAAGGACGAGTGATGGAAAAGTCATTTTTTTATGCAATTCAATAATTTCTACTATAGATGACATATCGTACGAATGGTACAATTATAATGGTAATTTGGAAAAACCCAAAACAAATAAATAAGTTATGAATATAACAATTATTATTTACTTTTTTCAGATAAATTAATAAGGAATGATTCGCACTATGAGGTGGTATGCAATAAACTAATTCTAAAGAAACTGCATACTAATTTACCACTTTACTATAAGTGTGTGATTGAGTTGAAAACCATTGGAGCAAAATTTGCAGTCACGAAAAAAATTGAAAATCGAGATGTCGGTAAGATAGACAGTGTTGAATTAAAGGACATATATTCACTGACTAAAATACAAGCTTCACTTACTTTTACACTTTGAAATTTTAATTCGACTCCCAGAGTACTGCTTGCTTTCCAACTTACCACGAACCCTACCTATTTGTGCATTCTTCACAGTGTAATAAAATTTTACGACTTTTTTATGTATTTTGTTCATGTTAGGGCTGCTTGCTTGCTTTGCTCAAACTTTTCCTCTCTCATTCTCTTTCCTTACATTTCATTTATTTGGACTAAGTACATATTTTTTTTCTTTATTTCAAATTGATTTGAAAATTGACGTTTTTTATGAAAATGATTTTTATAACAGTTATGTGAAAATTATTTTAACACTTCCTGAAATAATAAGAAAGCCACATCAAGAATGTAATCGAATCTGTTAGGATTATGAGGATAAACTATTTACATTAAAGAACATGAATTTCATTGAACTTTTTTTTTTCTCTATCAACGTATATTTTAATGCATTCGCAGAACATCAAAGAAAAAAAAACATATGTTTGAAAGATGCTATTCCGTTTCTCTTTAAAAATTAAAAGAATACAGAAGAAAAAAAATCTTTTAATGTTTTTCTCCTTCTTTTATAAACAGTTTCTAAATTATACAGAAATAAAAGGCATAAGAACGAAGGTAAATAAATTAAAGAATTATCTTTTTAAACAATTTAGCTAATAATTTTTTTTTTATTTTTACCACGTTTTTTAAGCTCTCAAATTCATCACAAGTATGATGCCAAATAAAAACTTTGAGCTTGGATCAACTGGAAAAATTCATTGCAAGGCGACTGGCAGCAAGAGCATTTTTTGGAAAAATAATCAAGGCGATGAACTGCCAAATAATGTAGTCGATGTCAACGGAACATTAATTTTTAATAATGTAGATATTAGTATGAAAGGTGATTAATTTCATTTTTAATTTTTGCTGGATAACAATTTTAATTTTTTGAAGGTATTTACACGTGTATTGCATCTAATGATAACGAACAAATATCACATCAAATTGAAGTGAGGATCTTGCCTGCTTTTGAAGTTATCCCGCCAGATAAATTATTTGTAAATGAATTAGAACCAGTGATACTTCATTGTACCGCTTCAGGATCTCCAATGCCAACAATAAAATGGGATTTTGAGACAAAAATGATTAACTCTAATGGACGTTTTCAAATATATGATAATGGATCGCTTTTTATTCAAGAATCTCATTTAGATGATAGTGGTCGATATGGATGCATAATAGGCAGCTACGCTGGTTTCAAAAGAAGCGAGACATTTTTAACAGTTAAACGTAAATATAATCATTGATTCACTTAATTAAAGCCCGTAATATTTTATGTTTTATGATTTCTAGAAGCTGATTCACAAAAGGAGGAAAACGATAGCCTGGACGAAACCAACAATCTACTTTCAAACAAAGCTGTTTTAATAACTTGCTCACTTGCCATCATCTATATCATATGTGTTGTTGTTCTAATGATTTGGTGTCGTCAAAGACGGGGTATGAAACGACAAATTGAAATCGATCCGGAAAATCTAAAACTTCATGACGAAAATGAGGTGAGCAGTCAGTAAATGCTTTAAAAAAATTATTATTTTTTTCATTCTTATTTAAACTCATCGTCAACTCATTCTAATTAATCAATTCCATTTATCAGACTCATGCGGAAAAATCAAAGCATAAGACTCTTGTCAAGTCATTATCATCATCATTTACATTTGATATAAGACATGAGAAAATTACAGAAATTAAAAAAATTGGAATAGATAGTAATTTCAAAATGGAAATTTTAATAGGGTTCTTAAGTGATTCAGATCTTCCGTCCAAAATCATCATGAAAGATAATGCTGTAACAGACGAGATCAAAATGCAACAACAAACTAAAGTTTTGATAAAAACAATCCGAAAAGATCAGGATGAAAGGACGTTTATTGAATTTAGAAGACAAGTTGATCTTTTCTGCAATGTTGATTCAGAAAATGTTGTGAAGCTTTTTGGACTATCGAAGGAGTCAAAAATTTATGGAATTATTATCGAACACGATAACGAATTAAAATCGTTACTAACTGAAAGAGTTGACATTTCAGTTCAAGAACTTTTAAAATTTTGCCATCAACTTGTAGCTGGAATTGAGGCAATTCACAAGAAAGCAAAGCTCACTCATCGGTAATACTACAATGATATCTGTAATTTGCAATAATACTAACCAAAACTTCCTTTTTTTAGTGACATATCTTTAATCAACTGTATCGTGACTAAAGAAAATGTTTTAAAACTTACATCGAAAGCTTCAACAGACAACAGTGATTATTATGAATTCAATAGCCATCTACTTCATTTAAGATATACAGCTCCTGAACTTTTCTCAAGCTGCATAAGCAACGGTGAAATTGATTACACATATGCTAGTGATATTTATGCTTGTGGGATAACAATGTGTGAAATTTTAAACAAAGGAAATCAAGCATTTAAATCACTTGGTAAAGAAGATTTCGTAAAAAAGCTACAAGCACGCTCTCTCGATTATAATATACTCGTTACTTCAACACCGTCGGATATCAGTGAAATTTTAGTGAGTTTTTGGATGCATAAATTTCGATAATTTTTAAATATTTTTTTTTTCAGCTAAAATGCCTAAAAAATGAAGCAAATGAACGTATAGATTCTAATGATCTCTTAAATTGCTTGGAAGAAGCTATGACAAGGAACAATTAATCAATAACTGCTTTTTAATACTATCGCTATAAGTTTTTTTATTACCAAAGTATTGATAACTAGTCTGTATGTAGAATTATAAACGATAAATTGTAAAATTCTTTTTTTTTATTACACTTGAATAAAAATTATTCAACTTAAGTTTTTTCCTTAAAAAGTTAAATTTTTAATGTAGCTTTATAATTTATGTATTTCAGTAAAAAAAAAAAAACCTCTGCATTTCGCAGTTAAAATGGGATCCGAACCAATCCTTTGTAATGAAAAACTATAGCAATTGATTTCCAGTGTATTACTGTATTACAATTCTAATAATAAACAGAATTACAAAAGCAAACTATCTATCACAATTTCAAAATTCATGTGAACAATTTTCAATATTATCAATTCAACTAATTTTAAATTTTTCAAGACTACTTTAAATTATGTTAAATTCCATTCATTACTCTCCCGTCTCAATATGGATTTCATATTTACACAAAATTTCAATTTTTTTTACAAATATAATTCACATGTCGCTTAATTTCGCTTAAGATGTCTTGACAGTAACGGATCTAACTTGACCATCACTTCCCATATGAAGAATAACAATCCTTTCAATCTTCCACTTCATTGATGGTACATTCGAATCCATGATGAGAACTAAATCATTCAAACAATGCTCTACCTTTTTTAATGAATCTTTCAGTCTTATTTGAGCGTTGATCAAATCCTTACACCAAAACTTCCAAAATAACTGCTATACTTGTTGAATCATATCCCATCGTATCAGTTTACCTTGTTGTCTATCTGTAAAGTCACGTTCCAAATAACTGTTCAACGGCCGTCCAATCAAGAAATGGCCAGGTGTAAGAGCCTCAAAATCATTTGGACTATCGCTTATAAATGTAATGGGTCGGGTATTCAAAACTGCTTCAATTCTACAAAAGAGAGTTGAGAATTCCCCATAGGTCATTAATCTGTCATAACTCTTTTTAATTGATGGTCGCTTGCTTAATTGCTTAATTTCATTTTCCCAAAATCGTCCCATATGAGGTGCTTGAGGTGTAATAAAATGCCATTTTATATTTTTGTCATTGTAATATTCATGAATTTGTTTTTCCAAATCTTTAGCCAATTTCTTGAATTCATTGCACGCACCTTCAAAACTTGTTGCATTGTCTGAGTAAATATTAGTTGGAAGCTCTCTACGTGATATAAATCTACCTAATGTGCCAATGAAAGCCACTGTTGTCAGATCCGTTAACAATTCTAAATGAATTGCCTTTGTAAACATACACTTGAATAATGCGATATAGGACTTCATTGCAGTTGTATTACGAACCTTCCCAGATTTAATTAATAAAGGTCCAGCATAATCGATAGCTACCTTTTCAAAGGCATTTGATTGATTTACTCTTTTTGGTGGTAAATCTTCCATAATTTGTTTACGACACTTAGGGGCCATTCACTTATTACGTAACGCTTTTAGGGTGAGGTCTAAGATTTTGTTACGGTTCAAACAAGGAAATTTTTTTTTCATAAAAATTTTGTTACGAGGGGGGGGGGGGGGTCTAAGAAGTCATTTTTTCGCGTTACGTAATAAGTGAACAGCCCCTTAGGTGATGCTGGAAAACATTTGATGCATTGACTGATGATTTTATGATGTTGAAAGATGAATCCGACGAATCAAATTATAAACAAATTGACATTTAGGCATGATGATTTGATGCTTATTTTCATATGTTAAACTTTCACATTCACCAATGCGACCTCTTGTTCTCATAATACCATAATTATCCAGGAATGGTGACAGTTGTTTGATACTAGATGATAATAAAACTTCTCTTCCTTTTGTCAACTTCTTCAATTCTTGAGGGAAAAAATGTAATTTTATAAGATTAATTACTTTGTTTTTACCTAGAAGCTCATAATCTGCATGTTGACGTGCGATTTTGATATTTGCTTTCTTCTTCCATTTTTCTATTGTTCTTAATAAAGATGCAAATATTTTAAATAGCTTTGTCGGATGAAAATATCTATTTTCAATGTAATGAATGATGTGATTCAACGATGGATGAGTTACAAGTAAAACTCGACGAAATTCCTTTTTATACTCGGAATTATTCAAATCAAAGTTTAATAATGAATGTGGCCAGCACTTTACATCTTCTTGAAGATAATCTGGACCATTCCACCACAATTCAAAGTTATTCAATTCTTCTGCTGTTGAACCTCGTGAAATTAAATCTGCAGGATTACTTTTTGTGCGAACATGACTAAAATTGAATTTTTCTGCTTCTACTTGAATGTCATCTACACGATTTCCAACAAATATTGATAACTTAGCTGGTTCTTACTTGGCCCAATGAAGTGCAATTAAAGAGTAACTCCATAAATAAACATCATTTGCTAGAATTCCTAATGCTGTGCTAATTCGTTTTGCAAATTTTGCTAACAATAAAATTCCACTAAGTTCTAGTCTAGCCAGTGTTATTTGCTTCTGTGGTTCTATACGACATTTTGATGTAATAATTCGACATGTAACATTTTTGTTAATATTTGTTGATCGCAAATACAACACCATACCGTATGTCTTTGTAGAAGCATCACAAAATCCATGTAATTGAATATTTACTGGATTTACACAAATGATTTGTCGATCAATTTTAATTTGATTAACTAATGCCAGTCTTGTTTCAAATTTTTTCCATTCCTCACATAAATCATCAGGTAATGCTGACTTCCAATCAAGATGTTGTGACCACAGCTTCTTCATAAATAATTTTGCAGTTAATATAATTGGACCAAACCAACCGATTAGATCGTAAATACTGGCAAAACATGAAAGAACTGATGACATTGTTAACGACTTTTTATCTTTGAAATTCAACTTGAATGAGAATGTATCTGAAGATATGTTCCAAATTATACCCAAAGCTTTTATTTCGCTTGATTCTTGAATCTTTTCAAGATGACTCATAGGAATTGAAGAGAGTACTTCTTGACTATTTAAAACCCATTTACGTAGACTTTTGCTATCCATCGGTCACTGGTTCAAATCCGGTTCGAAGGACCATTATATCTGTAAAATTCATACGAAACGGCAGAGTGATGAATGGAATTCATCATGATTTAAGGAGGCTCGCGAACACCAGGTCACTCGGGAGCATTAGTGTTCTTGATCCCTGGGCCCATAACAATATCAAAAATCACAAGAATCCGATTCAACCCTGGTTGTATCCACCACTGCTTTCTCCCTTCTGGCTACAACTTTTTAGCCTTGTAAACTTTACTGCACTAAACTTTTCTTTACTATACTTAACTAAACTAACCTATACTTTACTACACTTTACTTTACTTCACTATACTTTAGTACACTTTACCACACTAAGCTTAATTTTACCACACTTTACTACACTTTGCACTATACTCATACTTTTCTATACTTTATTTTTAATCAAATTAATTAGTGCATAATTTCAATCTAAATAGTTAAAGGTCTCTTAAACATGTGGTCCATTAATACGTTATACTCATACTTTCAAAAAAAAATAAAAAAATTTGCAATCATTTTAAAAATTTAAGAGAAAATGTTTAAAAACTTAGCTAAAGGTTATAGCAGGTTATAGAATTAAAATATTATTTTTTTTTATTTTTTTATTATTCAATCATTTTAAACTAAATTTAGCTGATGGAAAAGAAAGAGCTTACAAAAACATAAAGCACTAATGCTGCTAAGACAGAAATAATTTCATTCATGTCAGAGAAATTTCTAATTAATACCTTAAGTTTGTAAGGAAATTTGTCAAAAAAAAGTATAGTATAGAAATATCAAACACATTGATTCTCACTATTCTTTCGTTACTGTTCTTCGAAATTTGGAAGACATCCTTAATGTTGAAGTATTTGAATTTAGTTTAATAGTTTATTTTTTATATATGAAAAAAGATTCATTTTATCTTTGTTAATATTTCCTCAAGACTTAAAAGAATTTTAATGCATGAAATTTCAAATAATAAGCGATAATATTGATTATTTATAAATAAATTGTATGGTAAAATATACATTATTTGAAAATTAATGCACATCAACTTTAAACATTTTGGTTTTTAAAGTTTTAAACAGTTTTAGGATGCTGCACTTTCTATACTTTTACTATATTTAAAACAATCTCTTACAAAATTAATTTTGATAAAGAGACAACAAAAACAATGCTCACTCACGGCTATACTATTTTGGGAGTTTTATGGCCTTGGACCAAGCCAACTGATTGGAGCACATAATGCAACATAATGTTCCATAAGTTACAGTATTCAAGTTGGTATGTTTGAATTTCTAGTTTGGATTATCTCTCCGTATAATGCGTTGAAAATTCAGATGCAATAGCATTTATAAAAATCTGTTTATACATCTTAGCAATATCAGCGTTTTTAAAGCCAATACTTTGTTAAGATTTTTATTATAAGATCATAAAGTTCTGGATGTACTTTTTCTTCTAAATTAAAAATCTGGCTGTACTGTTGGTCCAACAAATAACGTTTCATTAAGCGACAAATTGTACTGTCAAACAAAAATTAAGTGACAAATTGTTATTGTACTGTCTTCCTTCACAGAATATGGAAGATAATAACATGATTTAAATGGTGACGTAATAATTTTCAATTTAGTCATATGTCCCAATCCTTCATATTCATTTATAAACTTTTTGTATTCACGATAATACAAAGCATCTCGTTTGAATCTGTTTTCTAAGCCTCTGAATCGATTAGTTGCGTTTTGCAAGTTATTGCCAAGATTTGTGTAATTTGATTTAAATGTAAGATCAACCACATATCTTTCAATTCCGTATCGAACTATTGGGTCCCAAATTCCCTTTCTATCTTTTGAGCATTTATTGATTTAGCTCATGCCATTGTCAAATACTTAAATTCTGTTTTTTAGATATGATAACTTTGAGTTCAAGCCCGTTTTTAAATTATCTTGATTTTAACAAGTATAATTTGAATCTAGCCCTTGAACTAGTTCAATCGGCTCCCATACACTGAATTATTTTCTTGAAAAACTTCAAAAATTCAATTTCAAATTATAGATGTTGACCAGCTACGAAATGCTATATCAGTTTCAAAAAATTTTGATAAATTTCAGCGTCTATGATATGCTGTTCAATTTTCAATTTGTTGATAATTCACTTTAATTATTCAACTTGAATTTTATAGCGTACTTACGTTGCATTACAAATTTCTTAATTTCTCCAAATTTTCTCAACACCTTTCAATACCTTCCTTCTGGTGGACTGTAATACAATTTCAATAATAAACAGAATTGCAAAAGAAAACTATTTATTCACAATTTCAAATTTCACGTGATCAATTTACAATTTTATCAATTCAACTAATTTTAAAATTTCCAAGCCCACTTTAAAACATGATGAATTCTTTTCGTCAGATAAAATTGCTGCCTATAGCCTACAAAGGAAGGTTGTGTGCTTCATTTTCAGTACATATGGTTCGAAATTATTAGGTTTAATTTATTTCAGTAAATCTTCATTAAATTGCACAAAAAGTACAGAACTAATGTTGATTTTAAAACGTCACAAAAACAGTCAGTTCTTTTTTGCATGATTAAACTTATGATGATAATTTTCTATAATAAAATACTCGTCATTGACATTATTGGTACACAAAACAGTCAGCTTAGAACTCCCTACATCCATCTTTATAACAATATTTATATTTTCACAAATACAATAATGATAGCGAATCTGTGCGAGTTTTTGAAAGTTCGCATTGCTTAATTCGACTTTTAATTGGCACATGGAGTTGCTAGAGCTAGCTGTAAAAAACCGTCAAATAAAATTTAAACATAAATGAACAAAACTGTTCAAAAGTTTCAAGAATCATTTGTAATGTTTACGCATAAAAAATTCATAAAAATCATTCAAGAAGGTTTCTATTATAATAATGAATTTAATGGAAAAACATGGTTTAAGTCTAATAGAATAATTTATTGTGTGTTTAAAGAATATTAAAGGGAGAAAACATTGTAAAGAATATCAATTTGAACCGAAGAAAACAAAGAAAAGAGCAATTTTGAAATTTATTTTTTGAAGCGTCATTTCGTGAAATCTTGACCTTTTTTTTCATTAGTCTTTTCAACTTAATAAGTAATCCAGACTGACTAGAAATTTATTTGAAAAGCAGTCAAATAATTGATTAAAGACAGAAATATCACAAATAATGGCCAGTGAAGAAAGGTATTAAGAACAAAAAATGATTTTTTTTTTCAATTACATAAATTTGTCATTAAACGACTTAATTCTGCCTTAATGTATTTCAAAAGCATATTAAAACATTCCTAAATGACCCATAATATTAATATTAAATCCAAAATATCTTCCAGCAAGGAAAAATTTTGAGAATTTCGGAAAATTTAGGAAAAGTGAAAGTACCATGATGTTATGCATATGTATTAGTAAATTTTCTTCTATGTATGAGTCATTTTTTTGCCATTCATTGACAGGAGTCGTCTAATTATTACGTAACGTTTATTAGTGGGAGGGAGGGGTGGGGTCTTAGATTTTGTCACTGTTGGAGCATTCGTTTCAAGTATTCTTAATCTGAAATTTTGACACAAAAAGAAAAGGGGGCATTTCTCTTGTACGTAATAAGTGGACGATATCCCAAAACATCGTCAAAATGATGATCGAATTTATCTAATTTATTTTTATACGTGTTTTAATTTAAAATTTAACGTATGATTGATTATGATTACATAAAGAAGTAAAGTTATCAATTATGAAAAATATGCTGCACATCCCGTTTATAGCAAATCTATCGTCAAATGTCATTTTCTAAAATGTATGTATGAATGAAATATTTTTTATCTCTGTTTTACAGCATAATGAACTGCGAGGAAGATTTAGAAGATGGCGAGATTGAAAGTGACGATGAATGTGAAAATATTGTAAGTGATAAGGCACAAAATGAAACGATTAAAAATCCTGAAAAATCGCCAACTCCACCACCTCGAAAATCTAATGAAACAACTAAAAAAGCTTCAAGTAGAAAAGAAAGATCTAATCACGAAGAGGATGATTTCATGTGCAGTATTGAATCTAAAATTGCTAATGTGCTGAAAGAAAAAGGTCTTGAACCACCGATGCCAAATATCAGAAAACAACATGATAAACTCGATACTGAGCCTGAACAGCAACAGAAATCCAGTCGTAGCAGCAGAAAGCGACGTAAAAGAAAAGAGCGAAAAGATCAAAAACGTGATAACGCTTCGTCTAAAGTATGATTCCTTTTTACCACACTTTTTTTTTTTTTGTTAAAACTTCTATAAAATTGAATTATGTTATTTTCAACTCTTTAGAAACGATCAAAATTGAGTGACAGTGATAATTTGTACATGATAGGAGGAAGTCCTGACAATTCTGGATCAGATTCCGATCATAGTAATACATCATATAGTAGCTACGATTCAGATGATTATCATAGATCATCGTATGAGGAAAGACGAAATAAAAGACGTGAAAAGTATGGTTCCCGAAATGATAGAGATCGTGATAGAAAAGATCGACGAAATCGCGATAGTGAAAAGGAAGTCTGCTTGAGATTTGCAGAATATGGTCATTGTCCAGATGTACGTTAAAACATTTCTTGCTTCTTAATATTGCTTATGACGATATTATTAATTGATTCTGTTTTTTATATATATATATATATATATGTATTAGGATGACTGTCAACGTTTACACGAAGTGCGCCAGCCCAAGAAAATGGAACTTTGCAAGTTTTGGCTCATGGAGTGTTGTGCTAAGAAAGATAAATGCTCTTACATGCATGGAGATTTTCCATGCAAATATTATTATCTAGGTCTTAAGTGCATCAATAAAGACTGTAAATTTATGCATGCAAAGCCTCTAAGTGACAATTTAAAGCAGATACTTCTCAAACATTTGGATACGGCACCGAAGGAAATTTTAGGAGATTTCCCACGTATTGGTCGAGAAAATGCAACGAAAATGATTTCGCAGACTCATGTTAAATTATGTCAAGAATATAATATACCACTGCCTGAAAATGAAAAGGTTTTGAGCAAGATTCCTGCTTTACTTGAAATGAAGCTAAATCCACCAGAAGAATTTTCATCCAAGAGTGAGAATCGTAAAGAAAGTTCTCGATCATCACGATGGCAGCAACAAAAGGAGGGAAAATCCACATCTCAGCAATCACGAAGTACATCATCGACTAAATCATTAGCTATAAATGAACCAGGTGATATGCCTTTGTCAGAAATGAAAGGAATTTTAAGTGATAAACAGATTGAAACTATGGCATCTATTGGAGTTAAAATAGTTAATCATATTAATAATTTGACAGTTTCTCAAATAAATGATATTGGATTAAGTCTTGCAACAATAGGCGAGATTCAAGCAACTGCAATTAATATGCATAATAAGGCAAAGAATAAAATCCCTGACGAAACTGCTTCACATTCACCTATACAAGAGAATAACGCTGAAAAAGAAGAAAAATCTGCAGATGTTGATATGCGTGTTTTCAATATGAATAATGTTGCAACACCTCTCAAATCTCCTGATACAATCATGTCACCAAATCAGTCAGACATGGAAGGACAAGATAATAAACCAAGTACTTCAAAATCTATAATAATGAGTCCTCCACAACCATCCGCAATTGATTATTCTCAATATTTAAGAGATTCAAATTTGCACAGTAATGATGAGGAAAACGAGGATGAACCGGGCGGATTGAAAATTGATTATGCAAGTGACTGCGAAACTGAAGAGAAAAATTCTCAATCCGAAGATGATCAATTAGAAATCAAGTCAAATATGCTCTCATCAAACGTCCAATTACTTCCACCGTCTTTTGATACAAACGCTTTTCTTAACTCAACATCGGTGCTATCAAAAGTCGACATAAGTTCTTCCATTCAACAGCTAATGGAGAAAGTAGCACCAACTGAAAAATTATCTCATCGTGATCCTCGTGTTCGTAATTCAACTCAAAAACCAAGTGAAACGATCGTTGAATTAAGCTCTCCAACATATAAAGAAGGTACTAGTAGTAGTATTCAAAAACAAGAACAATCAAGACGTACATCAATATATGAAATCGAATCGCCATCAGATGAAGATGAAGATATAAATATTATTAAATTAGGAAAAGATAAGGATATGAGAGTACCACCTTTTTTAAGGGACTCTGAAAATGGCGATGTTGATTTTCGCTTTCCTTTTGCTCCAATGACAAATTACATACCAGCAACTGAGATTGAAGCTTCATTTGGAACTCACATTTTTAACAAATATGAAGTAAAAATAGTTGATATCCCTAAGCCAGACTATAGTGAAATTAAGCGTAGTTTTCAAAAAATGGAAAGTATACAAGATCCTCGATTGAAAAAATTGTGCAATCTTGGGGAATCAAATCAAACAAATAGTAGTTCTAATCTAGACCCGAGAAAACGAAAGCAAAATGATTCTGGAAATACAGATAGCGTGCAAAATAATAGTGCAAGTAATGCTGGACCTAAAAGATTACAAATATCTACAATTTTGCAAAATTCAAAACATTACAATGAATTGAGTTCCTCCCAGAAAATGATCGTTAATGATATTTTAGCAGAATTGTCAAAACAATTAAAAACTTTTCATTCTGATAAAACGTCGAGTAAGAATTTCGACACAACATTTATCTCACAGAATCATCGACTAAGTCAGATATTGATAGGACTTGGTGTATTTGTGAATGCCCAAGGAGAGTTTGAGGAAATCAAAGAAGTTTCGATTGCAACGCCTCAAGTCTTGCCGAATATTCATCAAATGCCACCAATAATACCGAGCATAATGCAACAACCACCACCAAATTTAATGCTTCAACCGCCTAATTTTATTGGAGCATCTGCAAATTTGAGACCAGGCTTATTAGGAATTGCTCCTCCAAACCTACAGCCATTTAATTTTGATCCACAAGACTTTACACCTATCAATAATCAAAATCCTACCTTTGGGAATGAGCAAAACTTTAATAGAAACCAACGGAGTGGAAGTAATAGCAGCAACAATAATTTTCGTAATAATTCACATCACCGCAACAACAATTATCGATCTAATAGAAGATAAACTTATTAATTTTATTTCTACTTCTTCTTTTTTTTTGTTAATCCATCTCATCTTGAATTCTATTGCAAAGATTGCAAAATATTGTTAACGCAAAAAAAGAAAAAAAAAAGTAATTTAAATACATGAATAACTATACATATTGAAATTGAATTTGATTGAATAAAACGCATTCATTTTTTAATGATTATTATTATTTATTCATTAATTATCAGTAGGTATTTATTTCAAAAATTCAAAAAAGTTTCTACAGCTTAGACAAAAAGTTTTCTTAATTTTTGAAATAAGTATTTTAAAGATTTGTTTTTTTTTTTTACTCAAATGTGTGACATTAATGCCTTACAACTTCTTAATAATTGCAGTTACAGATAAAAACTACAATTTAAATGATCTGCAATTATAAAGCTTGTACAATACAATGGAAATTCTCCTAGATCAGCAAGATCCTTAGTTTGATGTTCTTTCAAGATATTATGAATTTTCTCTTTGTATTATCCACACACATAATAATTAATCATCATTATTAAAAAAAATTAAAACTTGACAATCCACTTATATGCATATACTTGAATTGATTATTATGTGTTTAGTTAATATTATATTTTTCATATACTCTTCTATTGGTTGAAATTCAAATAATGAAAAATAATAAAAGCAATAAGAAATTTCATGTAATTTGATTAATATAGTATCAGAAAGTATGGTTTTTAAAAAAATTTACTTTTTAAAGAAGCATGAATTTCTTTTTAAATTTTTTTATATATATTTATGAATTTAATATATACTTGAAGTCGAGCAGTTCACACACCTAATTAACCAAAAATTTAATTCATTTGTTAAATAGAAACAAATTAAACTTATTTAATCCATACTTTTCAAGTTGTTATTTCCTCACATTTATACTTTGCTCATGATCTTCAAATATTCTAAAGCATTCTTGGCAGCATTCGATTGTGCATCTTTAGAATTAGCTCCAGATCCTGAAAATGATTGATTTTGGAATTTAATATTTGCATACATAATTTTATCGTATGTTCTTTCTTTATTAGATTACCTTGACATACAGCAACTGGAAGTGTTGACAATTGTACCAAGCACTGGTAACGTCCAGAATATGTTTTCTCTTCGATATCAACGTATGTTACCTCAAATTGATGTTCTGTAGCAATTTCTTGCAAAAATACCACATAATTTACATCCTTCGCATTAAGACACGTGTTCTACGTACATTAAAAGAAGACAAAATTTTTTTTTTTTTTTAAATTAAATTAATAATATTTTCAAAAATATTGAGTTTTAGAACCTGAAGTTTTGCTAATGATTTTCCATACATATTTTTTAACATTTTATGAAACTGCGATACTTTGTAGCTATGCTGATTGGTCAGCGTTGGTATATTAGCTTCCTTTAAATGTGAATAACGAGAAAAAGCATTTGCAACCCTCATCTAATTCAGTTTTAACACAGTGCAAATGAAGATTAAAGTTTTCGTATGAAAATAAAGAAGAGAAAGAAAAGCAATCATAAGTAAAAAAATTTGTAATGTTGTTCGATGAAAATTGAGTGGAAAATCAAACTTTTTTCGGTTAATCTTTCAATATTACATATGATCATTCATTTAAAAAAAAAAATCTCCACGTTTATAAGAAAATAAGTGAAAAAAACTTTAATCTTCATAGCACTACAAAAATAAGCACCAACCAAACATGTTTGTAGGAACATGATGGATCATAGATTTTGGTGCATATAACATTGAAAGACCTTCCAAAATTTAAATGTTCTTTAAGAACTCCACTCAAGACCCATCATGTTTTTTTTGTCTTAAATTTTGAAAAATCTCTCTCACCTCGTCATTAGCATCATCAATACACGCTTGAATGACTTCCGTTTGATCTAGGGTTTGATTTTGCAATCGTTCCCACATTTTTTGAGCAGCTTGTCGTTTTGCAATTTTCTTCGATTTTCCCGTTCCAACTTCACGAAATTTGAGAACAGTACATGCAATCGTGAATTGTCTTTCATGTGGCAAGCCGATTTCAACCTTAAGATGAAATAATAAAAAGTTAATTCGTATATTAAAATTTAAGTTGTTGTTGAGTGTACCTCAACTTCGTATTTTGGAGCTGGCCAATGTTTTTGCATGCAAAGTTCTTGTAAAACACCAATCGGATTTCCCATTTGATTATTTTCATCGAATGTCGCACTCGAATTAGACGGAGCGGTAGAAGAGCCATTAGCGTTGAAATTGCCCTTTTGCTGATAAAATTGATCTGATATATTCATACCAGTGAGTTTGTCAATTAGTGCTTTAGCAGCTGCATGCTTTGCTTCTTTTTTACTTCGTCCAACACCCATCGCATCTTTATCATTAAATGATACACGATATCGAAATGATGGCTGATGGACAGCTCCCTCAATTTGAACGAGTTCATAATTTGGGGTGATTCCTAAAACAAAAAGATGGCAACGGTGCGGATATTAAAATCAATAAAATGGATTTTTTTTCGGCAAAGAAAATTTACCTCGCCGACTCAAAAGTTCTTGTAGGATAGAAATTGGAGTTTTCATAGTATTTGGCATATATTCAATTTCATTCTTCAAACTCTCGCTAACATCAACGGGCTCGCCTGAAGGTTTTGTAGCATTTTGTTGAGACGCTTTCTTAACTTTTCTCTTACGATTTTGCTGTTGCTGAACCTGAGCTATAGGCACAGGCTGATCTTGCAAACTTAACTGAGTTCTCAGTTGTTCATCAAGCATGATTTCTTGCATCTTTAGTCACTATTTTACCACACTTTTATTATTTTTTTGCTTTTTTTTCTTTCTTTGACACTCAGGAAAGTCTGACAGTCACGAAGTGCAATACTAGAATAGTGATGATTCGAAATTGATTTCATACGAAAAACTTTTTTTATCGAAACTTTTTGCTTCAAATTTATAAGTTTCTCAACAAATTTTTTTGTTTTTCTATTTGATCAGTATTATTAAAATGTGTTGAAGTGAAACTCGATACTATTAAACTAATTAATTGTACATGTGTAATTGCATGAATAATATTTTCAGAATATAAATAACGCTTTAAAAGCATTTAAAATTTGCTATAAACTTGTTAATGGATAGAAACCCAATGCAGATATATTCACACCGTACCGTCAAAAGTTTTGGGGATAGACCAAGTTTGTTCAGTAACAAACGGTTTTAAGATTTTACAAAATATGGTCTGTCACAAACATTGGCAATATTTATGACGAAGACTACTTCCTTTAAAGTGTTGCATATTATTAGAAAGGTGACATTAAACTACATTAAACTGATAAGCCTTTTAAAAATATTTGCTCAATAAAAAGTTAAAGCAGTTTGAATGACGGGAGAAAGGATCAAGTCGATAACCATCATAGGGTACCCAAAATACAATTTTTTAGAAAAAATTCTTTAAAAAACATTCATAAATAGCCCAACCTTCAAGTATTGAACCAAAACATTCAAGCTAAAGCTTGTTTAAAGCAAAAGTTGATTTTTTGAATGATTTTTGAATCTACAATTGAATCTGTTGTATAATAAGAAAATCATAGTAAACATGATATGAAAATCAGTTAAGAAACATATCTCAAAGATATAACATGGCGCAGTTGAAAATTAGTGATTTGGTGACTCCAATCGACCTAAACGCAAACTCTTTGAGCGAAGAATGGAAGAGATTTAAGAGTCAAATAAACTGTTTGTTTGAAATCAACGAAATTAACAGCAAAAACGACAAAATCAAAATTTCATATCTGACGTTACTCATTGGAAATGATGCAGCTGACTTGTTTGATCATCTAGGATTGTCTGAAGAGGATAAGAACTGTTTTGAAAAAGTCATCAATGGTTACGAAAATTGCTTTAGACTGAAAACAAGCATTTACGTGAATCGGCTGAAGTTCTATCAAGCGTTCCAAGACGATACAGAAACATTTGTTCAGTTCGTGTCAAGAGTTCGAAAGTTGGCTACAAAGTGTGACTTCAAGGAGAAAGAAGAACAAATTAGAGATCGGTTGGTGATCGGAATGAAAAATTCAAAAATGCAAGAAAAATTAATTGTTAAAGGAGAATTTTCAGAGATGCTATAATTGAGAAAGTGCGTTTCCATGAATGGCAGATCGATGAATTGGCAAACTTGAAGGAAGAAAAGAATCAGCTTGAATGTAGCGAAGCAGTATGTAAAGAAGGAGGAAAGGTTGGTGCAATGAAAAACAAGAATAGTAGCAAAGAAGAGTTTATTGTTAGTTCTGATTCAGTCAAGTACGTAAGTAGTCTGATTTGGTATAAGAATTTGAAAATTAGTGACAAGTTGGTTAAATTTAAATTAGATACAGGAGCACAAATTAATACAGTTACTGAAGGAATAGTGAAGAGTTTTAAGCAAAATTTTGAAATCATTCCAAGTAAGGTTAAGCTTCAAGCTTACTTAAGTTTAAACAGCATTATAAGGATGTTTTTGAAGGTTTAGGTAAATTTAAGAAGCCTTTCAAATTATATTTACATGAAAAAGCTATTCCATTTGCCGCGGCACCTCGTAAAATTCCATTAAAATTAAAGGATAAAGTCCAAAATAAATTGAATGAGATGGAAAATCCAGGTGTGATTGAGAAAGTGAATGAACCGCGTGAATGGATTAATAATATTGTAATTGTTCAGAAAGTTGATAAAGTAAGAATTTGTATGGATCCCAAACACTTGAATAATGCCCTTAAGAATTTTCGTTATCCAATTCCATCACTTGATGAATTGAAGCAGGATTTAAAGGATGCTCAATTCTTTTCTGTTTTAGATTTAAAAGATGGATTTTGGCATGTTAAATTAGACGAGGATTCTAGGAAATTATGTAGTTTTAGCACTCCGTTTGGGATGTACCAATTTAATCGTTTACCTTTCGGCATCAAAATAGCTTCAGAAACTTTCGAAAAATATATGTATGATAACTTTGGAGATTTGAAAGGTATCAAATTTTATATTGACGACATTATTATTTTTGGAAGGATTTAAAAGAGCATGACTTAAATGTTAGAGCAGTTATGCTAAGAGCCAGAGAAAATGGCATTAAGTTCAATTCGAAAAAAGTTCAAAAAAGCTAGAATTGAAACAATCACGGACATTCCAGTTCCGACTAATAAAAATGATGTTCAGAAATTTTTAGGTGTTGTCAATTATATACGAAACTTCATTCCTCATTTACCGAAGTTAACGCATAATATTAGAGATTTACTTAAAAAAGATAGTGAATTTGTTTGGCAAGCTCAACATCAGGTTGAATTTGAGAATCTTAAATGTGTTATAAAAAATATCATACGTTATGCATCTAGATGTTTGTCTGATATTGAGAAAGAATATGGACAGATTGAAAAAGAATTTTTGGCAGTATTCTTTGGGTGCAAAAAGTTTCATGATTATGTTTATGGTCGTCGTGTGATTGTGAAGTCGGATCATAAGACTCTTGAGAGTATCATGCTTAAAGATTTGTCAACGATAGGATCCAGAAGACTACAAAGATTACGTCTTAAGCTTTAGAAGTATGATTTGCATTTAGACTATAAACCAGGTAGTAAGATTCCCATTGCTGACTATTTATCTCGTTACACAAGTTGTAACGTTGATAAAGACCATGAAGAAAAGGTGATGAAACAAATGGTTCATACACTGAGCATAGGAGATAAAAAGTTAAAATTGTATCAGTTAGAAACTGATAAGGACAGTGATTTAAAGTTTCTTGCTGATTATTACAGTAAAGGTTGGCCGACTGATAAGTCGAAAGTTCCAGACAACGTAAAGTCTTATTATAAAATGAGAAATGAGATTTATGTATCGCAGGGATTAGTTTTCTTTGAGGATCGATTGATCGTTCCTAAGACTTTGCGTGAAAAAGTTTCGTGTGATTTGCATGAAGGTCATATGGGAATGACTAAAACCTTGAAATTCGTTAAAGAGTCTGTATTTTGGCCAAGTATGGCACAGAGCATAGAGAATCCTGTTGGTTCTTGTGAATTATGCAACACTTTTGCAAAATCGAATAGGAAAGAGTCAATTATTCAGCATGAGATTCCTCCTAGAGCTTTTGAAAAGGTTGGATGTGATGTTTTAGAATTGCATGGAAAAAATTATTTAGTGTTGATTGACTATTTTTCCAAGTGGATTTGCTGCAAATATTTACCATCCAAGAATTCGAGTTCGATCATTTCTAAGTGGATAGAAATATTTGCAGATCATGGCGTTCCTAGAGAAATAATAGCTGATAACATGCCATTTAATTCGAGTGAATGTAGATCGTTTGCTAATGAATGAGATATTCTAATCATAACATCAAGTCCGCATTATCCACAGTCAAATGGTTTAGCAGAAAAGGCTGTAGGAATTGTTAAAAACATGATGAAAAAGACGAAAAATAGTGACCAGTTGTGTATAGCTTTAATGAATTACAATAACACACCTTTGGGAGATTTAGACTTGTCTCCATCACAACTGGCACAGAATCGTCGTATGAGAACAAAAATAGTCACAAAAACCGAATCACTAGAACCACGCTTAAATAAGAATGTGGAAGAAAAGTTGATGCATAAGAACTTAAAAGCCAAATTTTACTATAATAAAAATGTTTTTCCGCGAGGGGAATTTTCTGTTGGCGATAAAGTTTGGCTTCAATTGCAAACAATACTTGGAAAGATGGAGAAATCATTGCTAAATGTAAACAACCCAGATCTTATGAGATCTTGCTTAGTAATGGTTCCATTTTTCGGAGAAACTCAAAGTTTCTCAGGTTAAATAAATTCAGCAATATGATTAACCTTTAGGAAAGGAATAGTATAGGCGATGATGATTCATTCATTGAAAGTTTTTTCGACTCATTGCAACCACCTCAAGTCCCACATGCAACTGCTGCAACTCCTCAACAAAACAACGTTAGTCCAGCTATCATAAATCAACCACAACTACGAAGATCATCGAGAATACCACAACCAACGAAAAGATATGGACTAATTTAAAGGGGGAGATGTTGTATAATAACAAAATCATAGTAAACATGATATTAAAATCAGTTAAGAAACATATCTCAAAGATATAACAGAATCTTTCTTTATTTCAAATTTGGAATTATTGTAGTTTAAGTTACAATCCTTTGAGTCTTATTTTGACACCAGCCTGAATATGGCTTTAATTCAACTGTATCTTGATTAATTAATAATTTTAATGAATGAGATTTGTATATATCATGAAAATGTGGCACAAAAAGTTTAAAAAAATTGCCGAGCGAGAAAAAAAAAAGCTTTTTGTTAAGCTTATGAACTACGTTAATAAATTATTTTTGAACTGGCTTGTTCGGTGCTGGTGGGCAGCTCATGAAGCCATACTTCACCATGAGTTTAAATGCAGTTACTTGAGGTGCATCCTTTGGGATCTTTCCGGCTTCGTCGACGAAACTGCAGAACTGATTTATTGCTTCTTCAATGTTGGGGATTCTCTTTAAACGTTCTTGAGCTTCTGTGAATTTCTTGAAAAGGCTTACATTCATTACTGCTTCGTTGAGTTTCTCTGCATAACTGGTATTATTGATCAGTTGTTGCTGATTAATATCTTCTTGAAATGTTGCTGATGAGTTACTTGCAGCATTCACTGGATGTGAATGAGCAGAAACTTGATGTCGTTTGCTTAACGATGGAAAATTGTTACTGTCCCAAAGACTTGATATCTGTCGCAGCATTTTGAGTTGTGGTTTGGCTCTTGACTTTTCGATTCTCTTGGAATACGAAATGAACGATGGGCACAGTCTATAACTGGCAGCATGATCACCATTGCAATTAATGCACTTGGCATTTCCATCACGAGTGGATCGTTGACATTGATTTGGTCCGTGAACTTCCGTGCACTTAACACATCGGAACTTATATCCACAATTTTGAGATGAGTGACCCCAACGTTGGCAGTTGAAGTTCACACTTTCATCTTGAAAATGCACAAGATAAAAGGGCTTCTTTACGAGAATTGTCACTTTGACAGCTTAATTCTTGGCTTCTTGAAGTAATCTTAGTACTTCATTCGTTGGTGTTTCGTAAAATCCTTTCAGAACGAATGACTTTGTTTTCTCCGATTTCTCGGAGAAAGTGTGAAATGGGATGCATTGAGACCGCAATACGCTGATTATTGAGGCCTTGTCCTCAACATTTTTGACTATGACTTGTGTTGTAGCCGCTGATGAAATTTTAAATGCAGGCTTAACCTGCAACTTGATTTGTGAAATTATTTTTCTAACTTCATTAATATTTTGCTGGATGAACAAAGGCTTTTCAGCCTTTGCAGCTGTTACTGGAACTTCAGGTTCCGCCGTGGAGTTTTTTTTTCTGGAACTTGTTTTCTTTGTTTCTTGAGATTTTGTTTTGATCCACTCGGGATTTCATCAAAGTCCATTTTTGGACTTAAATCCTGCAAAAAATATTGTGCATGTCCAAATTATATGTGAAAATTTATGTAAACTTTGAAACAAATATCTCGAAGACGACATCAAACGGCATGTTCACAGTGATATGGAAGATAGATTTAAGCTTGATTAATTGATTTATAAAGGTTTCAGAAAGGTCTTTGAAAGACTTTTTAACTTATGAATACGTTAAGTTTTGTAAAAATACTCACATTTCAATTGCATTTTTAAGACTTAATAAGCAGTTTTCTGTTAATTTGGTTGTTTTTACATGCAAATCTAAGCTTAACTTAGCTAACAAAAGCTTTCTTCTTCTACAATCTTAAAACATGGGCGCATTTATATGAAATTTAAGCTCTCCAAAAATACAATATTAATGAATGCGCCACGTTTTAAGATGTAGAACTATACAATATGGTCGAAGTGAAAAAATTTGTAATTCTAAATGGTCATGACTTTAGTATCAAACTTTCAAATCAATCTCCAATTTTCAAACCAATATCCTTTGAACCCAATAAAAAAGTTATTTTCTACTTTTTAGTCCACGGGTAAAAACGTGGTTTTTTAAAAAGGATTTATTATTTTATTAAGTTGCTCTGCGATGTAATTTAAGGATAAATTTCTTAGTTCAGCTAAGTTTTTAAGTAAGAGAAGTGTCAAATCTCAAAGCCCCACACTTTTAGAGTCATTGTGTTCTTGGACTTAATCACAATATTTTGAAAAAAATTATGTTACATTTCTAGGTGTTACAAGAAAATTTTAAAATCCTGATTCGCTAAAAGTGTGATCTTATTTTATTTTCAACGTTTTGGTTTTTAGTCTTTTTGATAAAAGCGTGGTTTTTAAAAAGTTTTTTTTTTTCATATATGAATTGTAAACAAACTTTTGGTGAGAATAATTAAAGATTTCTGGATGTAGACGTAAAATTGGAATGAGATATTTTCATAGGATATGCCTTAAATTAAGATCTTTAATCTAGCATTTAGAATCTGAATCATTGTGAAATCATCTTGTGTTGATGTCAGCTTTTAAAGAGATATCCCCGAAGGAATATGATGAAAATTTTCTAAACAGTGCTTAATTGCCGCAATTTTTTGAAAATAGAACAAAAAGAGTACATTAACACGTAAATACGGTGTGAATATAACAATTTCAATTCACTAAATGATCAAGCAAAAATCAGCAATCATTTTGAGAAGCTTTTTAAATCCAAATAGATATATACGGAAATTAAAATTTATTAAGTTCAATTTTGTAACAACAATGGATCCAAGTGTTATAGAATATCCGCAAGTTAAACGAGAAGAAGTAGAAGAAACATTTTTCGGAAAAGTGGTAATTAAAATTTGTTTTTTTAATAGCATTTTGGTAAACAATAAAATTAGGAGGGGGGTGGTGTATTATTGATATCTATGATAGAGGGGTGGAGGGGTCTAAATATATTGTTTTTGGACCGACGTTATAAGTAAATGACTCCGAACATAATTTTTTATATTAATTTTGTTTAAGATAAGCGATCCATATAGATGTCTTGAAAATCCTGATTCAGAAGATGCCAAGAAGTTTGTTGATGATCAGAACGCAATTTCCCAACCATTTTTGGAGAGTTCAGACACATGGAACAAGATCAATAAGAAATTGACATCTCTTTGGAACTTTGAGAAATATGGAGTTGCTTCAAAACACGGAAATAAATACTTTTATTCATACAATACTGGACTACAAAATCAAAATGTTATTTACTGCCTAGACAGTTTGTCAAGCGAGAGTAAATTATTTTTGGACCCTAATTCTCTATCCACCGATGGGACTGTAGCTTTAACAAACTTGAAATATTCAAAAGATGGGAGTCGAGTTGCGTACGGTCTCTCGTCTTCTGGATCAGATTGGGTTACCATTAAATTCCGGAATGTTGAAACAAATGAAGATTTTGATGATGTTTTAGAGTATAGCAAGTTTTTTCAGCCCACATGGTTTCAAAATCAAGGAGTTTTTTATGGAACATTCCCAAATTTCGGTACTGCTGATGGGTGTGAAACTAATGCTAATGAAAACCAAAAAGTGTATTATCATAAAATTGGAGAAAAACAAGAGAATGATGTTCTAATTGCAGAATTTCCGCACGAACCAAAGTGGCGATTTAGCAGCGAAATTTCGGATTGTGGATTTTACCTAATTTTTTACATAATGGTCGGATGTAATGAAAATCTAGTTTATTTTGCCGATTTACGCAAAACACCTGAGATTACAGGAAAATTGGATTTTGTTAAAGTCGTTACAGAATTTAAATACGACTATGAGTTCATAACAAATAATGAGAATATCTTTTATTTTCGCACAAACGACAAAGCTCCAAACTATCGAATTATTACCATAGACTTTAATGATCCTAATGCTGAGTGGAAAACATTAATAGAAGAGCATCCAAAAAATGTTCTTGATTGGGCATGTTGTGTTAATAAGAATAAACTTGTTCTTCATTATATGGTTGACGTTAGGTCCGCACTTCAAGTTCATTGTTTAGAAACAGGCAAGTTTGATTTTGAATTTAAAATCGACTATGGCTGCATTCAAGGATTTTCTGGAGACAGAGATAGTTCAGAAATATTTTTTCAATTTGTTAGTTTCCTAGTGCCAGGAATTGTCTATCATTTTGACTTTGAAAACCTCAATTGTGAACCGAAAATATTCAAGGAAACCAAAATTCCCAACTTTGATCGAGATGCGTACAAAGTTGAGCAGATATTTTATCCAAATAGTGAAGATGGAGAAAAAATTCCAATGTTTATCGTTAGAAAGAATAGAAAAGAAATTCAACCAACACCAACTCTTTTGTATGGTTATGGAGGCAAGCTTAACTTCCAATTTTTGATTTGTTGCAAATTATTAATAAATGCATAATTATTTTTTCAGGTTTCGGAATATCTCTACAGCCAACATTCAGTGTCACATTTCTTGCGTTTATTGATGCTTTTGACGGAAATTTAGTTTACGCTAATTTGAGAGGAGGATCTGAGTTTGGAATGAATTGGCATGATAATGGACGTTTGTTAAATAAACAAAATGTTTTCAATGATTTCCAATCTGCAGCGAAATATCTAATTGAAAACAATTACACTAAGAAGGAGATGTTGGCAATTCAAGGAGGAAGTAATGGAGGTCTCTTGGTTGGAGCTTGCATCAACCAACGACCTGATTTATTTGGTGCAGCGGTGGCTCAAGTATGTTTACCAAAATCTAATCATTATAAAGTTTTATGTTTTATTAATTGTCTATTTAGGTTGGTGTTTTTGACATGCTTCGTTTTCACAAATTTACTATCGGATCTGCTTGGATAAGTGATTATGGCTCACCAGACGAGAAACAGCATTTTTTTAATTTATTAAAATATTCTCCTCTCCACAACGTTCATATACCAGAAAACTATCAACAAGAATATCCTTCCACCATGATTTTGACTGCTGATCATGATGATCGAGTAAGTCCATTGCATTCATTGAAATTCGTTGCAACTCTCCAAAGTGCTGTCAAACAATCTAAATTTCAAAGAAACCCCATTTTGTTACGAGTTTATAAAAAATCAGGTGTGTATACATTTTTAATTTTAAAATCTAATTTAAAACACTTAAACGATTTTTTTTTTCTTTTCTGTAGGCCATGGTTTTGGTAAACCAGTTACGAAGAAAATCGAGGAAGCAACTGATATTTTAACTTTTCTTTATAAAGTCCTTAAAATTAAATCTGAACTAAATTGAATGCCATAAATCCTCCAAAAAAAATACAATTATCTAAAATAAATTTTTGTTTGAGTATGAAATACATTATTAATTAACATCAAATAAAGTTTTATGTAACAGCATTATTGTTTTTAAATCGACAGGCTTTCTTCCCCCTAAAGTATACAATCACCTCTATTTTAAAACCATCTATCTCAAAGAGACCAAAATACAATATGATATATTCACATGAGATTTCCGAGTATAACCAAATTCAGAGCGTGAAAAAGAGCCAAATACGAAATAACTTACTACAAATGTGTGAATATGAGAAGAAAAAAAAACAAGCAACAAAAAAAATCTCTCTTAATAATAATGGATAAAGAAAAGTAGAAAAATGCTTTGATCTCTTCAGTTTTACATTGAAGCTTCTGCGATGAAGATGTTTTATTGAATATATCGGATAAATTTAAATACTTTTTAAAAAATATTTTTGAAATGTGAAATAAATTACAACAGGGAAATGAAAAGCAATTATAAAATTTTAAAAACTAAGTGAAAATTTTAATATTTTTTAACAAACTGTGTTTGACAAAAAAAAATTCAAGACAAAATTATTTAAAAAAAAATTTGATTGTTCAAAACAACATCAAATTAGATTCAACGTTCAAAATATAAAAAATATAATACATAAAACAAAATATTTAAAAAAAAATTAATTGCACAAATTATAAAAACAATGGCAAATTTAGTTAAATGGTGGAAACAATTTAGACAGTATAAAGGTAAATGACATATTCTATAAATTTCGATTGAAATCTTGAATGTTTTAGAGCAAAACTTCATGTTTGGTTCCGACTGAACTAAGATATATTAAAATTTGTAAAATTTCTCTGAATTTGTTAACAAAATCTATTCATTATAAATTTTTCACGTTCCATCAAAGAGAAGAAAAAAATCATCATTATGTTTGAATGCCGACAAATGTTAAAAGCGAAATAATAAAAGACTTAAATTTTTTTTTTCGAAGAAGAAAAAAGCATAAAACGAGAAAAATGAGAAGATGCTTAAAAATTGGCTTTATGTTCATTTATGTTTCAGTTTTAGTTATCGTTCCATTCACTCAATAAGCTAAGTCTGTGTATGTAAAGGAAAAAAAAAGTAAATAAGATGAAATAACAGAAGGCAACTCTTCGAGCTAAAAAAAGAATTAAGAAGAATCAAAGAATAAAGACGAAAATGGAAAATGAAAGAAAAGAAAATAACTTAAGATACCGAACGCATTAAAAAGAAGAAATATTGTAATGTTCATTCGTATGTTTTCTGATGAATATTCTCGCTTTTATCAAACGATTTCTTTTCACGATTCCGTTTTTTTTATCTTGTCAATGAATACCGCTTTTAAAGAAATATCACGCAACAGGTTGTTTCTTGCTTACCTACTCTAACACACATGGGCAAAGCTAGTTTTGATCATTATTTTTCTATCGAGATGTAAACTATAAACCAACAAATTTTCTTACGACTCAAAATTTTAAAATTTTTATTTTTGTGATTTCAACTAGGCATTCACGATTTCACGGTCCTGCAAAACTATAGTGAACGGGAAAAAATTTAAATTCAAATATCAAGCATTATCCTGGAAATTTTTAAGATATTTTGTTTTTCAATTTGACATAAAAATTTTAGATATAAAATATATATAGATATAATTTACTGTAAAAATTTGCTTTCTGTACGCAAAATTTCGGAAAAAGGAAATCGTGAAAGCCAAATTTTCAACCTTTTGTCAAGTTATACAGTTCTTACAAAAAAAAAAACCATTGTAAAAGGAATTCTGAGTAACTTCCGTTGTGCATAAGAAAAGTTTGAAACGACCATCAACAATGATTGCGTTAGATACAATAGATTGTGGACAAAATGCTCGTAAATGGCCATTACTATAGATATAACAAGTTTAATATGAAAAAAAGAGAAAAAATGAAGATCGGGACGATGAAAAGAAAATAGAAAGATAAAGTATAGGATCGGTGATGAGAATGAAGGAGAAGAGAATGAAGGAAAAAATACAAAAGTAATAGGCATAAAAGCCGCTTCTAAAAAGAAAAGAAATGAAAGAAGAAAAAAAAACGAAAATAATACTGTAGCAAATCTTAAATCACATATCGGCCTTTTTCTTTTATTTTATTCTTACACACATGAAGCAATACAACATGTCAGCTTTTGAGCTCTGTTCAACTATGTTGCGCATTAATATATCGTCTTATATACATTAAATTTTGTTTTCCCTGAACTTTTTTTTATTTAACAATTTTAAAACAAAGTAGTTGAATTTTCGCATTCATTTTGGGATAAAATGCTTCCATTAAGCTATTCTTTTTTTTTAAATTTGCACATGATTATTATTATTATTATTATTATTATTATTATTTATTATGATGCTTTGCTCTTGAAACAAAATATTTTCAAAGAGGACATATGTTTATTTATCATTATCTTTTTTATTTCAGTTATTCATGAATGCTCAACAGACTCAGAAGAACTCATACACGCTTCAGAATATGGGGATATTTTTATGCACCAAAAAGAAAATATTTTGCAGCCTAATTTAGATTCACACAATTCTCATGATGCTAAAACAATTCCTTGTAGTGGAAATCTAATGAAAAGTAAAAGATCATTAAAGGAATATGATGGAAAGGAGAGGATTAGAAATGATCAGCAAGAGCGTTTGCAGAAACGTCACAGTATTGCAACAACGCATAATTTGGAACAACTTGAGACAAATGGAACAAAATATAATAAAATATCTTGCGACGTATCACTTTCACTAGAAGATTCTGTTGAAAAAACACAACCAACAAACTTCACATTTACACTTTACGATTTAGATGGGCATGGAATCATAACCAAAGAAGATATAGCTAGCATAGTATCAACAATTTATGATTCGATTGGAAAGAATATAGTCGCTCCTATTTACGGGAAAAAAGTGATTAATGTTAAGTTAACAATGTCGCCCCAAGATATTATGAAAAGTAATGACCAAAATCAAAAAATTAGAAAACAAGTATCTACCCAAAAATATTTAAGAACAAATGTGTTCCCTAATGAACCAGAATCTGATAATAAAGTGCCAGTGATGAAATTACAAAATGATATTAATGCGCAAGATATATCGAAAAATTGCGAGAATTTTGAGAAAGATAAAAATAACATATATGAATCAATTAACAATTTAAAAGGCTTTACACCCACAATTGACAAAATTTTATCAAAAAATATCAAAACTGAAAATGTTGAACAAAAAAATTGTTTAGATGCAAATTTATCAGAAAAATTACATTTAGAACGAATTGACGAATCTAGAAATCAAACTAAAAATAATTCCAATAAGAGGAGAAATTTTCGTAAGCAAAGACAAAAGGTACCTAATAATTTATAGTCAATATTTTTTTGAACATATAAAAAAACCATTTTTTTATAGTTTAATGAAAAAGCTGCCCGCATTCGCTCTCTATCTGTTGGAAATGAGTATAAATGGAGACAAAATCAAAGTCAAAAAGTTAACAAACCAACTGAACTGAACAATGGAAGCAAACTAAGACGTAATGAGCTCATAGAGATAATTCGTGAAAGCATGGAAAAGAATAAATTATGTTTTCAAAACAATAGGTAAAATATTTTGAGATTTTTTTGAAAACTAGTATTTATTTAATTTAATATAATTTTAGGAAAACACCAAATATCGAAAATTTCAGTAGACAACGATCAAATACTATCACTATGATGGAAGCTCAAAATCTGCATGACAACATAAATCACTGTGGCTTTGATTCGTACCTCCACAGCACACTGTGTTCAAAAATTGATGATGCAAGCAAAATAAATCAATTTGAGTGCATAATGAACAAGCCTGCATTGACTCTTAAAACATCAGTCTTAAATCAACTAAATCCTACGCTAACCCCAGAACAGAAATTAGCAAGAAAGTTAAATGACATTGAAAAGTGGCTTCTTGAACGTGAAACAGCTACAAAAATAAAATCAACTGCAGATAAAAATGTTCTAAATCAAATTAAATCTGAAAAATTAACGTCTGAGCGACTATATGATGCTAAAAGTACATTACCCGCAAAAGTATCATCAACTAGAAATGAAAGACCATTACCACGCTGTTCAAAATTGCAGAAGGATGCAATTAATAGTATTAAAAACAAAAATTTGTCGGCATATCCAAACATTTATATTGATGATATTGATAAATTGCGAGAGTGTGAAAATTTAATTAGTTCTTCTGAGGGAGATGAAAATGAAGGACAACCTAGCATTTATGCAAATATTAATGATAATACAAAACTTGAAACTCAACCTGACAAAATGAAAAATTTGTCAAAACCTTCTTCACTTCGATTCGTCCATATTCATCATCACTATTATCACTTTGAAAATGATACAAAAGATAAAGAGTAATCAAGTTTATTATTTTTTAAAAATGTTACTCAACATAAATCAGGGAACTTTTTGAACACAAGAAACTAATTATTCCAATCTAATAATTTCGTTTATAGTTTTATAATGAAGGTATGATTAGTTCTACATGTAGATTTAAATTTCGCAATGATTCATTTCCATACACAACGCGCTAGTCAAACTTATAGTTTAATGATACAAACTTTTAAAAAGAATATCTTCCTCAAAAGCACATAAATGTAAAGTAAATTACATTTAAAATAATAAAAAAAATTCTTGAAAAATTCTTTTCTAAATCATGCAACGAACTATGTTAATGTGAATTTTAACTACAAAACAAAGACCGAAATCAATTAATAATTAAAGACTGATTTTTTTTAATTGTAAGCTTAACTGTATCATGCCGAAAATAAATAATAAGTATTTATTAAATGACCTTGAACTTATGATTATTTGTTAAAGTATTTTTTAATTATAATTATCAAAAAAAAAAGCTTTTTATTGTATCATATAAAAATGTAAGACAAAATCAATTCTTTCAAATAAAATGTAATTAAATTGAAACTTAAAATTTCAACTGTTGAGTTTTTATTTTACGTAATATTTATACCATGAACATTGTGGGGGAGTTTTTTGCGATTTAAATCAAAATCACAAATCAAATTGTGATTTTTGATTTAAATCTCAATGAAAAATGATTTGAAAAATGATTTCTGATTTAAATCATTTTACCCAAGTGATTTATTTTTGATTTATGATTTAAATCATTTTGTATGAAAGATTTATTTGTGATTTGGGGCCGTCACTTATTACGTTACGCAAGAAAACGACTTTTTTCACCCCCTCCCCCCTTGTTACAATATGTTACAACTCACAACCCCCCCCTCCCCCCCCCCCCCTGAACGTTCATAATTTATTTTATTTTGATAATTTTTTATTCTAAAAAGACGGTTAAATTTCTTTTGTATTGTAAACATCAAAATACTGTACAGCTAAATAGGTCATTTTTTGATTGATACTATTAGTATTCTTATGAATTATTGGATTGAGATATAAAGCAAAAATTTGTTTTTTTTGAAGAAAATTCAAAAATATTATGCTTGATCGAATTTTGGAAAATTCAATCTACTTTAAATGCAAATATCACAATGATGGGATCATATTAATCATCATATGAATGACAGATTTAGAGAGATTTATTTTTAAACTTATGATTGAAAAAAAATCCCCATACAATGTGATTTAAATCATAATTCACAAATAAATCTTTCATACAAAATGATTTAAATCATAAATCAAAAATAAATCACTTGGGTAAAATGATTTAAATCAAAAATCATTTTTCAAATCATTGCAAAATGATTTTGATTTTGATTTATGATTTAAATCCCCACCCTGACCATAAAACTGAAACACGAAAATATCTTTAAAAAAATGGTGCAAGAATTTTATATTTTTTTAAAAAAATACTTCTTGGATTTTATTTGAAATAGGAAAAATTTTAATATTTTTTTTTCAATTACAATCATTTGAATTTTAGGAAGTGCATTGCATTTATTATCTTAAATAATTCACTTTTAATTTTTTCAAGAGTTGTTTATAAAGCCAAACTTTCTATTTATTTGTAATTTACCCAGAATTATTATTTTGTAATTTTATGCTATAAATTTTTCTTTGAATATGAAATTTCAACCCTTTTCGTTAAAAAATAATTTTAGTTCTTATTATGATTTTGATTTAACAAAAAGATATCCAATAACTTCAATTTCAGAATTCGTTTAACACTAGTGAAAATTTTAAAATTGATAGCGTTATGATTATTTAATATTTGTTTGGAAGATATTATGGTTTGTGCATAAATATTTTTATAATAATTATTAAATATTATTAGTAGTTATTTTAATAGTAGACAAATTTGAGCAAAAAGTTCTAGTAACATGTAATTAATTTACTAATTCACGATCATTCGAGTTTTATTTTAATGGCTATGTTGTAATCGTATACAATGGATACTATACGTTTAGTATTTTTTTTTCCTTTAAGTATTAATTTTAAGAATTTAAAAAGATTTACTTTATTTGAAATGCCTATTTTGTTTACTTTGAATATTTAAGAATTTTAATTAAACTCTCGGTATAGATTTTTTCTTCATTTAGCTTTTAATTTTTTTCCAAAAATATCTATAAAAATTATAATTTACAGTATTAGTAATTGTTAAATTTAAAAAATGATTTTCAAAAATTTCTTCGAAATTTGAAACTAAATTTTAAAGTTATATAAAAATAGTTATAATTTTGATGCAACTCCAAAATAAATCATCCGAATATCAAGTCCTAGATTCTAAATAAGTATTTACAAAAAATGACATTTTCAAATTGATCAATTGATTTCTTCATCTGATCAATTTTCAAAATGTTTTAAAGTTTCTCATGAACTCATGAGATTTTAAAGAATATTGTATATCCGAATATATAAAAACCAACTGCCTTGTCTTGCAGGTGTGAACAATTCTTCCCCTATTTCCAATTTAAATTTTGTCTGAGACTTAATTCAATTGAAATTAGTTTTAATATTAAAAGAGATTTTGCATCTCATATAACGTTTTCTAATGTTATTAGGAAGGATTTTTTTTTGAATATATTTACAATGCATCACGTATTTGTATTTCTGTGAATTTTTATTCACAGTTATGCAGTTGGAATATAAAATATTTTAGTATTACTTTTTTTATTTAACACAAATAACTATGTTTATCTAATAAAAGGATTAAATGAAAGATGTTGTGTTGTATGTGGTAAATGAGTTGAAGAAGGTTGTTGAGGCTGCTGAATTGGAGTTGGAGGCTGATTCTGATTTTGAAGGCGCTGAGCCTTCCTTGAATTTCACCGTTTCGGATTAACAATTACTTGTAAAATTTGAGATGCCTCGTAAGCTGTACCTGGAAGCAACAAAACAGGTGAGCTGACATGACCAGCTTCAACACAAACCTTTTAAAAAATAAATAAAAGGATGAAAAATTTTATTGGTCGTTTAAAAAATATATTTTTTTGAGTTACCATATTAGGATATTCATCATCACCAAAATCTGGAGTTTCTCGTGCTTTATCTAACCAAGGATTCCAAATTACTGTATCTGGAAAGTTGTATTTTTGAAGTCTCATTTTTCTTCCTGACACAACGTTGGTAATAATATGCTCTTGTTGAGTGTGCTGGTAAATTCGATCAGTCCATTCATTTACAGTAACAACTTCTCGTCCTTCTTGATAGATTGCACCGTCTCTTGTCTATTTAATAATTAATTAATAATCATATTTATAGTTCTTTCAACTAATGACTTCTTACTTTATCAATGAAAGTACAACCATGTAGACCTGTAATTTGACATCTTCGAACGTCTGGTACTTTTAAATATGTATGCAATAAAAGATTAAATGAAAAAGCTAGCTCTTTGCTTGGATTATAAACTCCAATATGAAAATGTAATTCCTTTTCTCTTAATATTATTCGGTATGTGATCCGGAACCTAAAATAAATATGAATTTATTTTTTGAATAAGAAATCTGAGGGTGGTAAAACTTACGGGTAGTTCCACATTGAGCGAGAAAAATCGCTATCGCACAAGCTTAGTACTGCTTCAATGTCACCATTTGGAAGCCTTTCTGGTCCGCGCTCAAGCGTCCATCTGACAATTCTTGCAAAACCATGGTTTGGACCAAACTGTGATGCACCAAATTGTGGAAAAACAAATGGAATCCCTCCACGAATAGCTTTCTTACCATCAAAAACAGCTAATTTGCTAAAGTTAGTGTTAAATTATTTCAGTTCAATATTAAATTAAATTCATTATTTTTAATATTGTTGAATTATTGAAAACTTACCTAACGAATAGCTGTTCTTGATTATTAACTCTCCATGAAACTACAGTTGCACCTATGAAAATTAATTTGTTCTGTTTTTTTAAAAATACAATTCTTAAAGATAAAGTTTTGGTTTAGATATCCTATAAATTAATTTCATTCTTAAAGCAACAGCATTGATTTAGCTTTCAATCTGATCTAACAGTTATTAGATTTTAAAATGACCTTCAACTATAAGACCTGTTTTCATTGATTGTAGAGTCAATGATTTTGAAAGTATAAAGTATTATTTTTTTAAGGTTTAATTGCAATCTAGTTTTGATATTCTAATTACATAAATGCAATGAACAGCTAATATCAGTTTGTTCAATTAAGTTGGTTATCACATGAGAGTTGGCTGAATCGAATTTAAAAATTTGGTGAGGAGTTTTTTTTTTAATCAACCATTAAGGAAGATCATTCAATAATTAAATTGGACATTTGATCTATACACATATACCTTTATAGAATAATTTTAAAATGTATGATTTACCATAAAGACACAAATACAAAACTCAATTTTTATATGTCTCTCAAAATAATTCCAGTTGGTTAATATAAAAAAAACCGCGTTTTTTAAAACTCTTAGTTTGGTTTGGTTCCAAATCTGAAAATCTGCGCGTACTCACACTGAAACATTTTTTTTTTGTTTTTTAGCTTTTTCATATTTTTCATCTTCAGACAAGAAAATTTTTTTCTTGAGCCGGGTATAGTATTAAAATTATTATTTTATTATTCTTACCATGTAAATTAATTGTACATGTTGTATTATTTGATCTATCAAGTACAATTACAGATGTTGCAGCAGCCATTTTAAAATCGTCAACGAAGAGAAAAAACACAAATTTAAACTTTTTTTATATAGACTTTTTTCATAAACAAAAAATAAGATTTCTTCACATCAAACTAGTAACGTGTAACGTTCTGCTTGCTGCCAGCTTCAATGTTATAATGAAGAAATGCTATCGAAATATTGCTTTATATACAACGTTGCTTTTAATGCTCACAAGTTTTTTTTAATGTTTTAGGGGGAAGTTATTTTAAAGCATTATAAACTGTGTCTCAGCTATTTTTAAATAACTTTTCTGTTTCAAACTAAATTGATTTTGAAAACCATTTGATTTTAATTCAGGTTATGTCTATATTTCTTTTTAAATGTTTTTAATTACATTGACATACATACGTATGGTTTGCAATTAAATATAAAATATTCTTATCATTAACAAACATATGACAGTAGATTTTTGACATTTGTCAATCATAATTATTATGAATAATTTTCAAAAAAGTCTGATGATATTACTTATCAGATTTGATTAAATGTTATTTTTTGAATTTGGCAAATAATAAAAACTAAATGACAGTATGAAAATTTTGCTGAATGATTAATTGATACTCTTTAGTAAAATATCTTATCGTATTTGTACAATTACCTGAACGAGTAATGGAAAATGCATGTTTACATGTCTTATGACGATAAAAAATTTCTATTCTGCCAAAATATGTCATTGTTTTACTGATGGTCCGAAGGAAAAGATCTCTTTAATTCACAATAAAATGTATTTTATGAAAATTGGAAATATAATATTAGTTTTACTTACTTTAATAGTGACAACTAGTAAGTTTGAAAGTTTAATTTATAAGCTAAAATTCGCTAAAAACTATTTAACAGGTTGTCTTAGATGTCTTTCATGTAATTCAAAATTCAATGAAAATTGTCCGACAAATTTAAATGCAACTGCAACTATTTTATGCGAGGAAGGAGATGAATGTGTTACGTTTGTTGATGAAAATTCAGTAATTTATAGAGGATGCAGTTCTGAAATGGATGAGAGCGTTGATGTATACAAGACATGCAACAATTCAGATCTATGCAATCGCGAAAGTGTATGTTTGGATAATCCAAATTGTTTATTTTGTGATGATGAAAAGTGTGTAAATCCGGATTCAACTTATAAACATACCTGTGTAGAATGTGATTCAACATTAGGACAAATTTGTAGTACTATTGACATAAAGCTCCAGCAAGTGGATTGCAGAAATTCTCATCAATTTAGCTGTTATCATTATGAAAAAGGTTAAATTATAATTTTTTTTTTTTTTATTAAATTGTCATTTTTGTTAAAATATATGTTTTGCAGATAATATAGTGAAACGAGGATGTTTGTCACATATAAGAGTAAATGATAATCTAAAGCAGGAATGTGAAAATAGTAATTTCTGTAAAATTTGTGTTGGAAATAATTGCAATATTAAAGAAAAACTCCAAATGTGTTTTACATGCAATTCATTTGAAAATTCAAACTGTGCCACATTAAAAGAAGAATTACCTGTGAAAATTTGTAAAGATTATTTGGATACTTGTAAAGTTTATGTAAAACCAAATTCTACAACACACAGAGGTTGTTCTCTAGAAATCGATGACACTACTGTTGAGTGTTCCCCTCAAACTGTAAATTGTAAGCAGTGTTCAGAAAATTTGTGCAATGGCGGGATATTTCCAAACAATCGAATATCCTGTTATCAATGCAGAGGACCACCAACATCTGATTGCTCAAGAAATGTGAAAGAAGACATGATTCATCCTTGTGAAAAATTTTATTTTCGGGATTCATGCTATCTTATGGTAGATAAAAATAATGTTACTTCTCGAGGATGTCTGTCGGATTCTGATTTTTTTAGCAATCTTTGCCAAGCAAACCCCAACGAATGTGATGTATGTCAAACTTCAAATTGCAATATGAACAGTATTATACGACCACCTGCATTGAATTGCATTAAATGTGACACATCAACAGATCCCAAATGTCTTTGGGGTTTTAATGATGGCTCAAAAACGCCGTGCACAAAAAATGTTTTGCATCATCAAGAAGAATCATGCTTTATTTTTCAAGTTTCAAATACTTCTTTAATCAGAGGATGCACTTTAGATTCTAACGTATGTAAACTATCTAATTCTTGTTTAATCTGTAAAGAAAGTGGCTGTAATAACGAAAAAAAGGTTGAACAATACTGTATAGAATGCTCCTCTGAAGAAAACGGGGAATGTTTTAATCAACCACAAAACTTAAAAAATGTATCATGTGAAGGTAATATTACATATGAACAACGGGGATGCTTTACATGGACAAACGAATTTAATCATGTGTCTCGTGGATGCTTCTCTAGTTTGACAACTACAAAAAAATTTAAATGTTTAAATGATCATGAGCATTGTGAAATTTGCTATAAAAATGATAACTGCAACACTTTACCAAAAAACAAATGTAACAATCTTGACAATATGAATTTTTTAATAACCATAGCATTAGCAATTTTTTTCAACTATACCTATTTTAACTAGAAATTTGAATCAAAGTAGACTTTTTAATTTTTTTTCAACAATCTTTGGTTTAAAATTTATAAAATGTCTGGTTTCTATGGAATACATTTGAATGGAGGAAGTCAATTTATCAAGCATCCATCAGCAGTCAATAAACAAAAAATTAAGTATGCAGTGGATAATGCAAAAAAGGAAGATACTCTCAAACGAGAGCCAATCCAAATAACAAAAGAAAAATTAAATGATTCTTTAATTGACAAAAATGCTAAATTAGAAAATAAATCAAAAACTTTGTTGGTTTGTAAGCAGAATCTTTATGTAAAACCAAGTAAAGAGAACCTTCGTAGAAAGAAAAATCAAAATAAAGAAAAAGGAGTCATTAAATTATCTATCAAGAAAATGCAAAACAAAATTGATGAACTGAGTGAAGTTATTAAGAAAAAGGTCTCGTCTACAACTAAAGAACAATATACTGATGATTCGAAAACAGAACAAGTCAAAGGAGCAAACAGTTACAAACTTAGCAAAAAGAAAACTATTCAAGGATTATTTCTTATCGCTGGCATTTTGCTTTATTCATTTATTCTTGTGATTATATCAGAAGAACACGACTCTTCCACAAATGCAATCAAAATTAATATGCCAAATTCAACGCCACGAAAAAGTTTGATTGATTATTTATTTAATATTAGAGCAAAATAAATAAATAAAAATGCATAGATACAAAACAATCAGAGTTTGAAAATAAAATGAAAATTGCTCTATTTTGAAAATAAATCAAAATGAAAATAATGAAAATTGCCAATTTTGATCAAAGCAATTTTGCAATTTTGTCAATTTCAGAAAATTGTTATTTTGAAAATTGTTTATTTTCGAAAATTGCAATTTTGCTTTGATCAAAATTGGCAATTTTCATAATTTTCATTTTGATTTATTTTCAAAATAGAGCAATTTTCATTTTATTTTCAAACTCTGAAAACAATATAATATTTTATAACTATCTTACCTGAATAATTTTAAAAATTTAGGTACTTAAAAATGGACAACATTTTCTGGGTTATTATTTTAAGAGGAAGACGACAGAATGATGACACGATAATTGAATTCAGTAACCAGTTTTGAGTGTAAAGTGCATTATATGCTCTTTTAATTCTCATTTCGTTGAGTCTCTCTTATCACATAGGAAAAAGTTCTCATTACAGTATTTAAATAAATCAGTAACTCATTGTCTTTTAGCCCGATAAGTTCTAAGCTCTTCTGAAAAATGCCTATTGACATAAAAAAAGTTCTTATTTGTGATGCTGTTGATCAATCTTGTGTTGATTTATTAAAAGCAAATGGAATAGAAGTTGACTATAATCTAAAATTGCCAAACAATGTTCTTATAGAAGAAGCTAAAGTAAGTCTATGCCAACTAGGTATTCATTTAAAAGTCATAAAACTATAGATGCATATAAATAAATTTTGTTTCGAAACACTCAGTTTTGTAAATGTATTAGAGCATTCATGAAATTCCATAAAATTTGCAATTTATTTTTTGCATATATGTATTCATTTCTTTTTTCTTTTTTCACTCAAGAAATATGATGCAATAATTGTTCGATCAGACACTAAAATAACTTCTGATGTATTATCTTCTGGGTCACAAGGAAGGTTAAAAGTTGTTGGACGAGCTGGCGTCGGAATTGATAATATTGATGTAGAAGCTGCAACCAATAACGACGTTGTTGTTTTGAAGTAAGAAATTTATAAATATTTTATTTTCTAATCCAAAAACTTCAATTATCAATTGTCAGAAGAAATCAAAAAAAAAAAAACTTTGACCTGATAAAAATTCACTTCGATGATTCTAATTTTTATTTGTATTTGCCAGTATTTGCAAAAATACCTACTATATAAAAGAAGATATTTTTCATATTAATAAAATTTTAGCACGCCTGGCGGAAATACCATTGCAGCAACAGAATTGACATGTTTTTTGATTGGAACTTTAGCTCGTCCATTTTGTACAGCATATGTCAGCATGAAGGAGGGAAGATGGGATCGTAAATTATTTACTGGAACAGAATTATGTGGAAAAACTCTCGCTGTTTTGGGATTAGGGCGAATAGGACGAGAAGTTGGAATAAGAATGAACGTTTTTGGAATGAAAATCATTGGTTATGATCCCATTACCACAAAGGAAGAAGCATTATTAGCTGGAATCGAAAAAAAAGAATTGGAAGAAATTTGGCCATTAGCAGATTATATAACTGTTCATGTTCCCTTGCTTCCTTCGACTAAAAGTGTGTATTTAAATTAGAAAATTAATTTTAATATCCTCATCTTAAATTTTTATTTTCTTATTGTATAGATTTGATATCAACTGAAACTTTAAATAAGTGCAAAAAGGGCGTAAAAATAGTGAACGTGGCTCGTGGTGGAGTAATCAATGAGCAAGCCATTTTAGATGCTTTAAATGATGGAACTTGTAGTGGAGCAGCATTTGATGTTTTTGAAGAAGAACCACCAGCAAACGATATTACAAAGAAGCTAATTCAACATCCTAAAATTATCGCTACACCACATTTGGGAGCAAGCACAAAAGAAGCTCAAATTAAGGTTGCTGTAGAAGTTTCTGAACAGTTTATTGCTTTGACTGGAAAATCTCAAGAATTCTCTCAATATAGTGGTGTTGTAAATCGTTCCATACTGAAAAAGTATTTTTAAATTATAAAGTTTCATCTTAGAACAATCGCAAAAATAAAGGGAATACTAAACTTGCATTCAATTTTTTATTATTACACGCTTTTTACTGAGTTGCTCTGTTGGTCAAGGTCAAATCTTGTATTCGATTTTTCGACCACTTCTATTGCTCCAATCAAGCTCAATTTTTTTGTCCACACGTATTCCCGGTGACAATACAATATTTTAAGACTTCTGAACCACACTTTTGCTTAATTATAGTACAATTTTACTAAAACTTTTTTATATGGAAGAGTAATCCAATATCGATGATTGTTGAATTATTATGTTACATTGATATTGATCGTAGGAATCTGATTATTATTAAATAGTTATTATTGAGAAAAAGGATTATTTCAAGTTAAATTACATTTTGTTATTTGGAAGGATTAAAATAAAGTATACCATTTTTAAATTATATAAGAGGTTATGGGCCTTAACGCAATGAAGCTGTTAGAAAAGGAATTTGCCATGTACGAGCGGTTGAACTGCGGAAATTATCGTGTTTGGGCGTTTCGAATGAAGATGATTTTGATCAGAGAAGATCTATGGGATGTCATCGAACCAGGAAGCTCAACACCAGAGGATGCAGTTAGAAGCTTGAAAGTATTGGCGCACATTGTATTGATCAACTGGTTCATGTTTCGGAAGCAAAAGATGGCAAAGAAGCATGGGATTCATTGAAGAGTTTTCACCATAATGATTCAGTTGGACATAAAGTGAGGCTTTATAAGCAATTATTCAAGACTAAATTATCAATTGGCGGTGACATGCAGAAACATTTGCAAAAATTGTTAGAGATTGTTCAAAAGATCAAGGATTGTGGTGATGAGCTTGAAGACAAAATGCTTGTGAATGCAATTCTGTCAAGTCTTCATGCTGAATATGATAATTGCCTTGCATGACAATATATAGTATTGTAATAGAAAACAAGATATAGTGTCGTTATGAGAAGATAAAGAATGCTCATATAGATATAAAATCAATATTTTTTTTTTGAAAATAGCCTACTATGATCAAAACCAAAAATACTTTAAATTGCATTTTAAAACTTATCTAGACATAAAATCGATATTTTTTTAAAAATAGCCTACTATGATCAAAACCAAAAATGCTTTAAATTGCATTTTGAAACTTATCAAGGTATTATAAATGATAAAGAATGCTAATATTGAAATAAAAACGATATTTTTTTGAAAAAAAAAACTACTATGATCAAAACCAAAAATGCTTTAAATTGCATTTTAAAACATATCTAGGTATTATAAATGATAAAGAATGCTAATATTGAAATAAAAACGATATTTTTTTGAAAAAAAAACTACTATGATCAAAACCAAAAATGCTTTAAATTGCATTTTAAAACATATCTAGGTATTATAAATGATTAAGAATGCTAATATAGATAATTGAATCGATATTTTTTTGAAAACAGCCTACTATGATCAAAACCAAAAATGCTTAAAATTGCATTTTAAAACATATCTAGGTATTATCAATGATTAAGAATGCTAATATAGATAATTAAATCGATATTTTTTTGAAAACAGCCTACTATGATCAAAACCAAAAATGCTTTAAATTGCATTTTGAAACTTATCAAGGTATTATAAATGATTAAGAATGCTAATATTGAAATAAAAACGATATTTTTTTGAAAATAGCCTACTATGATCAAAACCAAAAATGCTTTAAATTGCATTTTAAAACTTATCGAGGTATTATAAATGATAAAGAATGCTAATATAGAAAAAAAAACGATATTTTTTTGAAAATAGCCTACTATGATCAAAACCAAAAATGCTTTAAATTGCATTTTAAAAACTTATCGAGGTAATATAAATGATTAAGAATGCTAATATAGATAATTAAATCGATATTTTTTTGAAAATAGCCTACTATGATCAAAACCAAAAATGCTTTCAATTGCATTTTAAAACATATCCAGGTATTATAAATGATAAGGAATGCTAATATAGAAATAAAATCGATATTTTTTTTGAAAATAGCCTTCTATGATCAAAACCAAAAATGCTTAAAATTGCATTTTAAAACTTATCGAGGTATTATAAATGATAAAGAATGCTAATATAGAAATAAAAACGATATTTATTTGAAAATAGCCTACTATGATCAAAACCACAAATGCTTTAAATTGCATTTTAAAACTTATCGAGGTATTATAAATGATAAAGAATGCTAATATAGAAATAAAAACGATATTTTTTTGAAAATAGCCTACTATGATCAAAACCAAAAATGTTTCAAATTGCATTTTAAAACTTTTCGAGGTATTATAAATGATAAAGAATGCTAATATAGAAATAAAAACGATATTTTTTTGAAAATAGCCTACTATGATCAAAACCAAAAATGTTTCAAATTGCATTTTAAAACTTATCGAGGTATTATAAATGATAAAAAATGCTAATATAGAAATAAAATCGATATTTTTTTGAAAATAGCCGACTATGATCAAAACCAAAAATGCTTAAAATTACATTTTAAAATATATCTAAATATTATAAATGATAAAGAATGCTAATATTGAAATAAAAACGATATTTTTTTGAAAATAGCCTACTATGATCAAAACCAAAAATGCTTAAAATTGCATTTTAGAACATATCTAGGTTTTATAAGTGATAAAGAATGCTAATATTGAAATAAAAACGATATTTTTTTGAAAATAGCCTGCTATGATCAAAATCAAAAATGCTTTAAATTGCATTTTGAAACTTATCAAGGTATTATAAATGATAAAGAATGCTAATATTGAAATAAAAACGATATTTTTTTGGGAATAGCCTACTATGATCAAAACCAAAAATGCTTTAAATTGCATTTTAAAACATATCTAGGTATTATAAATGATTAAGAATGCTAATATAGATAATTGAATCGATATTTTTTTGAAAACAGCCTACTATGATCAAAACCAAAAATGCTTAAAATTGCATTTTAAAACATATCTAGGTATTATCAATGATTAAGAATGCTAATATAGATAATTAAATCGATATTTTTTTGAAAACAGCCTACTATGATCAAAACCAAAAATGCTTTAAATTGCATTTTGAAACTTATCAAGGTATTATAAATGATAAAGAATGCTAATATTGAAATAAAAACGATATTTTTTTGAAAATAGCCTACTATGATCAAAACCAAAAATGTTTTAAATTGCATTTTAAAACTTATCGAGGTATTATAAATGATAAAGAATGCTAATATAGAAAAAAAAACGATATTTTTTTGAAAATAGCCTACTATGATCAAAACCAAAAATGCTTTAAATTGCATTTTAAAAATTTATCGAGGTAATATAAATGATTAAGAATGCTAATATAGAAATAAAATCGATATTTTTTTGAAAATAGCCGACTATGATCAAAACCAAAAATGCTTAAAATTACATTTTAAAATATATCAAAGTATTATAAATGATAAAGAATGCTATTATAGAAATAAAAACGATATTTTTTTGAAAATAGCCTACTATGATCAAAACCAAAAATGCTTTAAATTGCATTTTAAAACTTATCGAGGTATTATAAATGATAAAGAATGCTAATATAGAAATAAAAACGATATTTTTTTGAAAATAGCCTACTATGATCAAAATCAAAAATGCTTAAAATTGCATTTTAAAAACATATCTAGGTATTATAAATGATAAAGAATGCTAATATAGATAATTAAAACGATATTTTTCTGAAAATAGCCTACTATGATAAAAACCAAAAATGCTTAAAATTGCATTTTAAAACATATCTAGGTAATATAAATGATAAAGAATGCTAATATAGAAATAAAAACGATATTTTTTTGAAAAAAACCTACTATGATCAAAACCAAAAATGCTTTAAATTGCATTTTAAAACCTATCTGGGTATTATAAAAGATTAAGAATGCTAATAAAGATAGTTAAAACGATATTTTTCTGAAAATAGCCTACTATGATCAAAACCAAAAATGCTTTAAATTGCATTTTAAAACCTATCTAGGTATTATAAAAGATTAAGAATGCTAATATAGATAATTAAAACGATATTTTTCTGAAAATAGCCTACTATGATCAAAACCAAAAATGCTTAAAATTGCATTTTAAAACATATCTAGGTAATATAAATGATTAAGAAAGCTAATAAAGACATAAAAACGATATTTTTTGAAAATAGCCTACTATGATCAAAACCAAAAATGCTTTAAATTGCATTTTAAAACTTATCGAGGTATTATAAATGATAAAGAATGCTAATATAGAAATAAAAACGATATTTTTTTGAAAAAAACCTACTACGATCAAAACCAAAAATGCTTAAAATTGCATTTTAAAACATATCTAGGTAATATAAATGATTAAGAAAGCTAATAAAGACATAAAAACGATATTTTTTGAAAATAGCCTACTATGATCAAAACCAAAAATGCTTTAAATTGCATTTTAAAACTTATCGAGGTATTATAAATGATAAAGAATGCTAATATAGAAATAAAAACGATATTTTTTTGAAATTAGCCTACTATGATCAAAATCAAAAATGCTTAAAATTGCATTTTAAAATATATCTAGGTATTATAAATGATAAAGAATGCTAATATAGATAATTAAAACGATATTTTTCTGAAAATAGCCTACTATGATCAAAACCAAAAATGCTTAAAATTGCATTTTAAAACATATCTAGGTAAAATAAATGATAAAGAATGCTAATATAGAAATAAAAACGATATTTTTTTGAAAATAGCCGACTATGATCAAAACCAAAAATGCTTAAAATTACATTTTAAAATATATCTAAATATTATAAATGATAAAGAATGCTAATATTGAAATAAAAACGATATTTTTTTGAAAATAGCCTACTATGATCAAAACCAAAAATGCTTAAAATTGCATTTTAGAACATATCTAGGTTTTATAAGTGATAAAGAATGCTAATATTGAAATAAAAACGATATTTTTTTGAAAATAGCCTGCTATGATCAAAATCAAAAATGCTTTAAATTGCATTTTGAAACTTATCAAGGTATTATA